CACAAAAGTTTTCTAAATCTTAGAAAATTCGACTGTAAAACTCTTTAGATAGTCATTTTGGGAGGAACTATCACAGATTATTATGTCAATTAAAATAATCTTTATGTATTCAACATGTTTATTCATCATTAGCATATTTGTGCAGTCATACATCCATTTTAATTTATATGTATTAGCACAAATTTTGTACAGCTATTTTTAATTATAGTTCTGAATTTTTATCATCCTTTTTAGCATTCATGCCAGTAATATTATCTATTGTTCTCATCTTCCATGGCCTTCAGATCTTACCTCTGTTTGTTCCTGTTTACTTTAATATTTTGTTTTTTGATGACTATTATATCAATTGTTATTTTTTAAAAGACCTGCAAATTAGCATACCAAATTATGTATTTTCAAACATATGTGATTTTATTTTGTTCTTTTTTACCCTTTCTTTAATAGTCCTTCCCCCTAAATCTTTGTTTTCTGCCTTTGTGTCAATGTGACATTAACATGCATTTATGCCACGTGTGCACCAATTATGCCTTTATAGTCACATGGGTATCATTGATATACTTTTTTATACTTCCCTCTTCCATCCTTCAAGTTCTCGTCTTCCACATATGCTTTCTACTTCATCACACACAGATAAACACAAAGAGGCATACAGATTAAGACAAACACACACAGACTAATACAGTCATGCACACACAGATACACCATACAGAGACATATACATACACAGAGACTCATACAGACACACACAAATATACACACAGACACATGTGCACAAAGAGACACACAGAGATATATGCAGATATGTACAGAAAAAGAGACACACAGAAACACACACAGATACACATACACATTCATATATACAGATATACAGGCACATACAGACACATAGAGATACACACAGGCATATACATGCACGCACACACACAAACACATGCACATATAGACACACATACCTACACACACTCATTTAACATAATGGTGCCCACCTGCACTCCTATTTTTTTTAAATGTGATTATTTCATTCTTACTGCTTAATAAATTTCTATTTGTGCGTATGTCACATTTTCTTTACCCACTCATCTGTCAATGAACATCTAGGGTGCTTCCATTTTTTAACTATTGTGACTAGTACAACAGCAAACATGGCTGTGCAAATATTTTCATGGTATGTTGATCAGGAGTCTGTCGGGTATGTGGGCAGGAGTAGTAATAGCTGGTTCTATATATTTCTATTCTCAGTCTTCTGAGAAGCCTGCAAAGTGATTTCCATAATTATTATATCAATTTACATTCCAGCAGGAATATGAAAATATTCCCAATTTTGCTAGTATTTGTTAATAGATTAGCATATATAAAATATTAGTGATTGTCAGTCTGAGCATTCTTACTTTAGGCATTTCAATTGTCATTATAAACTAAATAATTCCTAATACTCTCTAATTCAAAGTAATGTAGTACTTCATTATTTTATTTTCGTAGAGTGTTGTTATATTAGGTCTAAACGTTAATGAAATTTGGTTAGGAATTATAGACTATATGATAATGGTTATTCAGGAAAATTTGGCTTTTTGTTAACAAATGTATACTTTACTTTGATAATTTACTTCATATGTTTCAAAAAATAATATTATTTGTTTTTATTTTGTTAGTTTTCTTCAAAAATCTACAAGATTAATAACCTTATTCTTTCTTAATGAATAGTTCTCTTAGTCTTTGGTAAAGCCTATTATTCTAACTATTGGTTTATCTAATGTTATTATAGAGTTTGAATTATTTGGGAGAGGGAGGGCTTATGTTGGGGGAGTGTATGTTTATTATTGTTACACATTCCTTGTCCCCTAATTCTGTTTTACATAATGATCTGATTAATCACTAATAATGCATCCAGACTGTGGCTAAGATTTGCATCTACTCCCTGCCTATTTCCTTATTTTTGCATATTTTTCTTACTTTAATTTCAAATATTTGTATGCCTTACTTATTTTTACATCTTTAGATCTCTTTGTAATTAATCCAATTTTGGGAAAAGAACATGAAATTAATTCATGTGTTTTATAATTGATCCTCTAGTTAAATAGCCTACCAGAAAAAGACCCCACCCTTTTATAATTTTGCTTTTTATTGGACTTACTCTTTGTATTTATATAATGTGTTCTGGCTTCTCTTGCCTCCACTCTTTCTCTCTCACCGTGTTTACATCCCCTTCCTCACATTCCTATATTTTTGTTCTTTTGTGACCCAGTGAATTTAACCATCGTAAACCTTTTAGTTTTTAAATTTTCCCTGCAGTCAACAAATCATATGTTTTGATATTACTTTTAAATGACTCAAACACTATGTCCTTTCTTTGTGGGTTTAAATAATTTACCTTTTCTGTTACTTCTGCTATAGTCCAACTTGTTTCTTTTGTTTTTCTTAATTGTTATCTTCAGTTCTTAAAATCATTTTCAAATTAGTTTATTGTTTTCAATTTCCCATTGGTGGCCATTTAAATGTAACATACACACTTTTCCTGCAATTATGATTGCCCCAAACTTAAAATCCATATATTCAAATATTTACAAGTTTGGCTCTTATCTGTCTCTATTGTTGATTTCTGACTTCTTTCACAATATGAGCTAATTTCTCAGCTTACATCCTGGAAATCTGCTATTCTTCAAGAAGCTTCAGGTTAACTAGATAGATTATAGCATTCTGTTCTTAAAACTGTTTTTATCTTTCATTTTTCATAGAATCTATGAATTTTCCTTACTTGTTCAGACGTTTGTACTTCTGCTTTCTCCCATTTTGTGAAATTTTTAATTTTGTTTTCACTAGGCTTCTGTGTTTTAAATATTTCATTGCTATTGCCTTTTGGAAGATTCCCTGGACCTCAACGTCTAACTTAAAATCCATTATCTGTTTGAACATATCCCACTTTCATTCTCTGTATTGTTTTATTTATTGCTATTTAAATCTTTTCTAAGTATGGACATTCTATTATATATTGTTGTTTCTGTATCATATATTGTCTTGTTTCATAATAAAAGTACCTTTTATTTTCTGAAGAATGCTTGCACCTTTGGTAAATTATTCTTCTATTCATCCTGACAATTTCCTCTTCAGCTGATTCATTGTTTTCAGTAGATAGTATTTCTTTGATGTTGTTGTTTTATTTCTGAGATAGGTACATATTTTAAACATTAAATGTCATAACAGCCCTAGCTTTCTTCCTCCCAAAATGAGTTAATGTCCAAGATCAAGCTTCTGGTGAATGGATTGTTAGGACAAGAAATAAGAGCAAGAGCTGAAAGTTCTGGAACCTGCCCAGTTGCTGCCTCTCTTCCTGGTCAGGATCCATCTGCAAGTGCTTGATAATTGTCAGCATTAAAAAGAGGTGTTTTCTGTAGGTTGTGATTCACCATCCTTGGAGTCTGGAGGACAAGGAGGTGGAGTAATAAATGCCTGCACCTGTTCTGTAATCTCCCAGCTGGCCTTTTGATTCACCCTGTTGTCCCCCAGCCAACACCTGTGACCTAGTATGCTGCCCTTGGTTTTCTGGTGAAGGGCAAGGGCCACATTGTTCTATGTCAGTAACTTTGATCCACAGTTTCCTATGGATGTTTCTACGCCTTATAAAAATGACATCTTATAGAAAGGCAGCTCACCTGCCCTTTCCTCTGTGACAACCACACTTTCTTCTGCTGCTCAAACAGCATGATCCTGCTCCGACAAATCTTTGCCCTTTTCTGCTCTTCCTCAACTCTCTGTGGGTCGGCTCCTTCTCACTAATATCACTTCGCCACAAAAATAATCTTTTCAGAAAGAAGTTTCTAACACTTTGGCATTTCAGTGAAGCATATTATAGCTGTGTCTTGGGCTTATTTTCGCAGCACCTACCATGATATGAAAGTGTTGTTTACGTGGCTGTGATCTTCCTGTTAGCATACAAAACACCTCAGAACAGTATTCTAGCTCTGTTTACAATGCAACCCTACAAAACAGTAGACTTCCCAAAGTCTTATAAATTTGTCACGAATTTTCTAGAATAAGTGAGAAAATAAATGAGTGCAATAACATGTATGTGAGTTTATTTCCTTCCTGTAACTTGTCCTGAAACACATGGGACAGTTAGTAGGAGGGACGATGCTGTCATTTTTCTTGCCGCTTTAATCTTTTACCCTCTAGAATTCTCCAATCTGAGCCTCTTGCTCTTAAATTCACTGTAATTGCATACATTCTGTTTTTTATATTTGTGCTCTATTAAGTCATCACTGGCACATATCATATGTTCTATACACACTATTGAAATATCTTAAAACCATCAAAAATTGATTCTCAGTGTGATATTGACAGTAAATGGAGCTGGTTTTAGGTGGAAGTTACACTGAAATTACACGACGTAATTTTTGTTAGCTTATGTCACAATAATTATTTCCAAATCACGTTTCCTAATTGTTTCTTTGATCCTGGCCTGGAATGTGGAATGTGGGCTGGGTGTGAGTTCCCATTTTTCACATGCAGAAAGTGGAGTTCAAAGAGGTGAACTGAGTGGGTTGCAGACCTAAGGTTGGAATACTTGTCTTCAGTTACTGCCAGGCACACTTGTTTTCTCACCATTCAGGTTTGTCCTCAAGCGTACGTCACGCTATTACAGCAGTGACCTGGAGATTTCTATCATCACCCTTGAAGTTTAGTTAATTCGCATTCCCTGTTTGTGAGTAGACATGGCGTTTTAAATAACAACAAGATCACAAACCATTTTGTGTTCAGATTTTCCTAATTAAAGTGCCTACATTAAAAGCTTAAGTATCTCTGGGGCATGAGCAGCTGGTGAGATTATATTATATTATGATCCACTTGAGATCTAGCACTCTTTTCAAACAAGCAAATAAGAAAATGAACAGTTCTGTACTTAAATGCAAGTGACACAGATCCACAAAGCTCTTTCTCTGGGACCAGCGTTTGCTGAGCATGGTATTGCAAGCCCCTGTGTGTCATCTCCTTTCCCTCTTCTTTAGGATGTGTGCAGTGACTTTCGGGCCTATGTGCAAGATGGACGACTCGGATGTACAAGGGAGAATGATCCAGTCCGTGGTCCTGATGGGAGGACCCATGGCAATAGATGTGCCATGTGTGCTGAGCTCTTGTAAGTAGCATCCCCAGATGGACATATGAAGAGGCCCTTATTTCCTGCCCTGAGAGCCCCAGAGTGGTAAAGTTCTCTTCATGGTTCCTGTGAATATTTGTCTTTATAATGTGAAATAGGTCTAGCTACAAGATGGACTTCTTGCCTTTTTCTTCATTTTACTACAAAATTTCTAAAAGAAAAATTTTGAAACTTCATCTTAAAATGTATAGTGCCTTTAAAAAACATAGTGTTTCATAATACAATACTTTTAAGACTTGAATGGTAAGGCTAGAGTAAATAAAGAGCAGGGAGAATTGACTGAAACAAGTTTTGTTTTAAATGCTGTAATGATATCTAATGCCTTATACATTGATTTTTTAAAAAAAAAGACTGACTTAGAAAGCACTTAAGTATTGGATAATCAAAATTGGTCATTTGATGTGCAGGGTTCCTTTGGGCTCATGTAGGGACCCTCACTGGGCAATGATACCTAATTTTAAATAGTACTACAAAGTGATAACAATAATACTGAAGAAGATTAATAGGATAATATAGCATCTGTTCAAACGGCCCCAAATCCTGTAGCTCTTTGGCTTCATTTATTCATTGTTTTAAGTCCTATCAGACAAGGAGAACCTGACTTTTTTAGATGGATTTCCTCAGGATGAGCCTGGGACAGCAGACTGAGACTCCAGATGGGTTCCAGATGAATTCAAATTTAGCTTTTAGAAATAAATAACCCTGCTCTGACTTAAAGGCCAATCAACATCTGGTTTAACATGTGGCCCAGAAGGGTGTGGTATGGCAATACCTGAAAGGCTCAGTTTGGTTTCACCCTTGCCAGAGCATTGTTTCAAGGCTCTTGGTTCTGCTTGTCGGAGGGAATTTTCCTGGCAATCTTCCGTTTGTCACTCACGGTGGCACACCCAGCTGGCTCTGCAGAACAAAGCTCCTAATTGACCGGCTGTGAGTCAGCCTCACACCCTTCCTTATCTGTGGCAATGTCTAGGGCGCCAGCATCCAACACAGGAAAGTGTTTGCCTCCTGTGAGGGGATTGGTCTCGACAGGTTATGGTAAAGGATGTGGAAGTGTTTAGTGCTCAGAACAGGGTGGACACTGACAATAGGCCTAGACCGTAAGAGGATTCTGTTCCCTTGACAGTATAAAAGAAGCTCGAGAAAATGCCACACGTGAGAGAGAGAGCAGAATTCGGCGAGATGCTGAGAAGGTAAATGGTTCGCTGCTACAGTGAAGCCTGTGAGCCTATACTCACTTGCGCCTTTGAAGGAACAGAATAATGTCATTGTCTCATATTACTGCGTGGATTTCATATTAATTAGAATTCCGCGATTATCCTATTTCCAGTATACTTATCAGTTAGGTCGTTTGAAACCAGCTTTTCTCATCTAAAGTTCAACACATATCATTCCTACCCTTTATTTTCTTCCCCTCACAAAAGGAAGGGAAAAAAAAATTTTACACACAAAATTCCATTGATCTCATTTCCTTTTATAAATCTTTTTCAGGTTAGCATAAAAATAGTTACATGGTGACAGCTTTATACATATGTACCAGTATACTTTGTGTTTGGTCATTTCTATCAGCCCCCCCCCCTCTCTCTCTCTCTCTCTGTGTGTGTGTGTGTGTGTGTGTGTGTGTGTGTGTGTGTGACGCACAACCATTTTGCTTTGAATACATTTTTAAAAACTTGTATAAAACCTTATACATAGCATTACTGGGTAGGAAAATTTCTAAATAGTTCAGTCTCTTAAGCAGTGTATCTAATAGTGCTTTACTCTAAAATTCTATTAAAAAAATGGACTTCTTATTCACTTTTCTATGTGGTATTCTTCAATAAAACCCTTCTTGATAAGGTCTTGCTTCTGCTTAAATAAAGAGATTGTAGCTTAAAAATACTCTTAAAATTCAGTTTCATCATATTTGTTTGATGTTATAAATTCAGCCTTGGCATCTTAAATCACCAGGGTTATTAAACCCTTATTTCAATGGGAAAGGTAGTATTAATTTAACTAACTCACCAGACTTTTGCTAGAAAGAGGAGAAACCTGGATTTTGGTCTTCTTTCTGCCATGCTGTGGATATTGAGAGCAAAGGACCTCCTCTCTGGGCCTCAATTTTCTTGTCAGAAAAATAAGGACATTGGCTAAAAGACCTCACTCTTACCTTCTGGTCATGTTGTATTTTCACCTCCAATACCCATAATTCTCCATGGACCATTAGTCAAAGATGGAATACCAAGCGTTGTGTGAGCTTTGTGTATTTCAGCCTGGAACTCTGGGCTAACCTGTCATGTTTCCCATCTATTGTATGTAAAAAGGGTTGTTTTCCAGCAAGTCCCAAGCATCCTAGCCTCTTCCTTTTGTTGACCAGGGTCACTAAGCACCACTGGACTAAGCAGAACTGCTTTTCAATGACAGCTCAATGTCTGCCCTGTAATTAACCTGTCAGTGGGTTGCTCACAAAGTGCTTCTTCAGAATCTTCTTGAATGAATCATAAGTTATAAACTGGAATTATTATTGTTGCTGTTATGGAAATCACGGAGCATTGATTTTATAGCTGTGTTATGATGATCAGGTGGCTGCTTTGCTGCTTATTCCAAATTTGTTACCCAGAAAGTGTAGAACATACATATCACTTCTTTCAAAACAAGTATATTAATCTAGCGCAGAAAGGATTCTTTTTAAAAAGCATCTTCAGAAAGAAATTTGAACTGAAAGTGCAAATTAAAATACTTAGCTAGAAAACTCTCACTCTGTAGGTGGTAGCATCGAGGGTCCAAAGGTGCTATGACTTTGTTAGTGTCGCGCACTGAGTTAGATGCACAGTGCAGTCACCTCTTACTCTTTTTCTCTGCCTGCTGCTTACGCTGTCTTGGCTGAGGTGAGAAGTTGAAGGTCACACAGTTAATCATTGTTTTTATAGATTGAGCTAGAGTAAAACAATGTAGGTTAGTTCACATAGAGGTCCTCAAGCCTAGTACTGCTTGTATTCATGTATGCGTGTGTGCATGTGTATGTGCATGTCTGTGTGTGTGTGTGTGTGTGTGTGTGTGTGTGTGTGTGTTATTCTTTAGCAAACAATAGAATTCAGAAAGTTCAAAATCAAATTATCAAGATTACTGGCAACAAATCTTTTTTGCATTTTTGAATCATGTCTGTTTTAGAACTTCTAGGTAAGGAGAGTTTGTATTGTTCAATGTAAAGGGGGTTACATTCCCTCTCTCTGAGATTTTATCACCTACATAGTCAGAAATGAATAGAGTCAATAGAAGCAGTATTCATATAATGGCCGGATATCACCTTGCTCCTGTCTCTTTGCAAATGCTACATTGCTCTTGACTTTCAAGTTACATTAAAGCAAATTTTCAAAAGTTCAATATTCTCATTCAGTTGGGCTTGTGTGCGAATATCATGAAAGACCTTTTTATTTCCCTGAATATTTGAAAACAATAAGAACTGCTTTTCGTTTTAGAAAAGGCTTGCAAAGCCTTACTGTTTCCACGGCTCCTTTACTTTAACAAATAACCCACACAGATGCTACGAGTGTCAGTTAACTTGGCAAAAAATTCACTTTTAGATAGTTCTCATTTACATAGTGCTTGTGTTTCTCAACGTTCCCAGACTTCTTGTCATTATGTGATTATAAATCGATTATTCAAAATGCCAAGATTAAAGACCAGAAAATGACAAATATATTTGCTTGTTTTCTTTTCCCACCCCAAAGAAACTTTGTAAGGAGTTTGAAAACCAAGTGAGAAGTGGAAGACTCTTTTGTACCCGCGAAAGTGACCCAATCCGTGGCCCTGATGGCAAGATGCATGGGAACAAATGTGCCCTGTGTGCTGATATATTGTGAGTATATCAACTACTCCTCAATTCACGGGGAAGGTGGGGAAGCAGACTGATGGATGAGTGACCGCAATTGGGAGTGAAGCTTTTTGCACTGTGATGTGTTTGAACAGATTGATATGCCCCTAAGACCATAAGCCCATCTGGCAAATGGTATGTGTCTGTATCTGAGTACAAACTAATTCCACTTTCCTCTTAGAAAGCAGGCTTACAACACCTGCCATGACTCTCATGAGTTTGGTTTCTTCGTGACCTTTTAGTGAACCAGTCATAGTACAGAATGGGGAAAGACTTTATATTCAGTAATTAACTAATTGTGTAAGGGTTGACAGGACATTTTCAAAAATTCTTTACATCCACATTATCATCTGAGACCATAAGTCACAGACAAAGGCTGAATCCACAACACAGCTCATACAGGCCTTGCTACACTGCATATCCTTTGAGTTATGAACTTATGTTTTTCTCTTTGTGTGTTTTTGATAAAAGTCTGTAGTCCAGGTTAGGCTGGAATTCGCTATTTAGCTCAGACTACTCTCAAACATGTTACAAACCTCTGGCCTTAGCCACCAAAATGTTGGACTCACCAGTGTGAGCAAACACATTGAGCTGAGTATTGTCTTAATGCAGGCGTCTTTGTATTCGGAGACGATAGCGTCCCCTTTCCCTGTAGACTGTATGTTTTAAGACTGTCTACCTTAGATAATTCCTCCTACTTCCTAGTTGAAAATCAATCTTCATAATCCTTAGTTATGGTCTTTCATAACCATCATCACAATCGGCTATTATGTAATTACCTCTAAGATTATTGGTTGACTTTTACTGTTCTCTCCAAGGCTGTAAATTCTAAGAGAACAATGGATAGGTTTGATTTGTTTTTAAAGACTTGGTGCATTGTTGTCCCCCAAATTAGGTGCTAACAGAATGATGACTGAATAAAGTGTACATGAATGACAACCCTGCTGTCCATAAGGTTAAAGCTTCCAGCAAGGGAATGCATGGGTCTGTGTATACAGATTTGCATGTTTCAAAACAGAACGAAATCTATTCAGTAAAATAAAATTCAACAATAAAACACCAACAGATATAAAGCTTATTACCTCCTTTAAAACATACAATTTAAAATGGGGAGATTTAAAAGTAAGGAAGATAGAAAATATTTATGCACATAAGTATGTACTTGTATGTGCATATGTATGTGTATGCATGCAAAATGAAAGGGCTTTTTGGAAATATGAGGTGCCTCACCAACATCAGGAAAGCTCCAGTGCTCAATCTGTGCCTAGTGATGATTGGGCAACATGAAGATATGAAACATTATCTCTTCATTTTGTTTCTTCAGCATGAGACAATTTTCGGAAGAAAAAAGTAAATCAGAGAAAAAACAGAGAGACGCTGAGGAAAGGGCTAAAGCTAAAGTGGAAATTGAGGTAAGGATTAGTGAACCAAACTAGCTGTGACTTTCGTTGTGTTAAGTGTGTTCAAGCATACCACTTCAGAATACATTGTCAATATTGGTTAATATTATCCCCAATCCTGAAAATTTTATTACAGTTATTGTTCTACGCTTAAAACAAAATTACAATGCTAAATATCTACATCAATTTGGAGGAAAACACTAAGTCATATTAGTAAAATAGCTCCACATTCTAGACAATTTTATAGCAATTTGACGAAACTTAGAGGCATTTGGGAAAAGGGAACACCGATCGAATAAATGCTCCCACTAAAACGACTGTAGGCACCCCCCCGCGTGACCTATTCTAGATTAATGTGGGAAGACATAGTTCCCTGTAGATGGTGCTACTCTTACTCTGGTGGTCCTGGGTTCCATGAAAAAGTAGCCTGAAGAAGCTATAAGGAACTGTCTAGTAAGCAGTATTCCTCCAAGGATTTGCTTCCGTTAATGCCTCTTCTCTGACTTCCCTCGGCAGGGGCAGGGTGACCTGAGAGTTCTAAGTTGAAATAAATTCTATCCTTCCCAGTTGTTTTCAGTCATGGTGCATTATTATAATAATAGAAAACCTCCCACTACTGTAGAAATCCTACTCAATCCAATTCTTGTAATTCTTTGGTCTTCTATGGTTTGTTGATTACAGTTCTACAAAGCAATCCGCTGCCTTCTATCTCTGCTTAGCCCTCGTTTTCACCTTCCATTTTGCTCTTAATCGTATATTGCCAAATCCTTCTAATACTCCCATTTAAATGTGTTGAAATAGTATTTTATTTTTCATTTGTGATCTCTTCCTACCTCCCTCTCTCCTCCTCTTCTTCCCTCCTTCCCTTTTAATAATATAATTAATTTCTTTAAGGTTAATCTCTATTCATTCAAAGCATCCACAGACCTGGTTGTCATTGCTTCTAAAACAAAGATATAATACTGTTATGCTTTATTATAAATATTTATCATGGTCTCATTTCATAAGAATAAAACCTAAATTCCTCTCAATATTTGCATATTGTAACTGGTTTTCAAGGCACCTTTTTAACCTCTTTCAAAGCCTCCCTATCATTACCCAACTAATTCTTGAACTGCTACATTTATTGAAATGTTATATTGCCTCAATTAAATATGCCAATCACTGCCTCTATGACTGTGACAATGATAATAGCTTTTGGGAAAAAATTTATCTTATGATATTCCTGACTATATGCTCAGAATAAAGCTAAATCAAGAGTGCTTGGAACTTTGATGAATCATTCTTTCATTTGTACTAGAATATACTTAATTCAGACCCAGCTACGTCTCTTAATTTTGTGTATGGCAATTACTTATTAGTCCCACTTGTCTAGAAAAGGAAACTAAAGCATTTTGCATTTATAATCATTTATAATATGTTTATTAATAGTATGATTATGAACACAGTTGCTGCATATGAACATTACAAGGATGGAATTATAATATTTTAAAGTCCTAAATCTTTAAAGTATTGGTTTTCCCCATTTATTCCTCTTGCCCAATTTAACTTATATGCAATGCTGAGAAATACAGATGTAGCACATAGTCCTGCACCTAAAATGTCTCATCTCCCTTGTCCAGAAACGCTGTAGTGAATTCCGGGATCGTGCAAAGAATGGGACACTTTTCTGTACCAGAGAAAATGACCCTATTCAAGGTCTGGATGGAAAAACACATGGCAACTTGTGTTCCATGTGCCAGGCTTTCTTGTGAGTATGGAGTTTTGAGGTGACAAAGAAAAAGATCCTTACACATGACCTAACAGGACCAGCTTGTTTCATTCACAGGAAACTGACTCAAAATAACAAGGCAGTTTTCCATGTAGAGTAAGCTACATGGAAAATGTTAGTAATATAAAGGTAGGAGTAAGTGCTTATCGTTACTTGCTTTAAGATGCCTATTTTCTGTTTCTTAACCTGAGAATTTGCTAAAACATGAACCTGAATAAATATTGGAAGAATCCTGTGCAAATCTTCTAAGCATTTCTAAGATGGTTAAATTCTAACACTAGGACTGAACTGAGTTAAGGTCCACAAGCAAACATACCATATGCAACCACAAACACCTATAAATTCACCTGAAATAGTACTTTCCATGCTGTGAAATTTCTCAGCAAGTTAGAGTTACTACCTCTCTTTCACAGTTTAGAATACTCTTCACATTATTTCACTGAACTTACATGAAGTACTTGATTATATTTATAATACAAAAATATTTTGTTTTCATTGATAGCCATATATGTTTTAAATGTTATCAATTAACTGTAGATACAATATAATTTTGTTATACAACAATTTTAGTTTTTTTAGCACACACACACACACACATATATATATATTTATAAAATCAATCAATAATTGGGCTATATCCTTGTAATGCACTTTTGTGTTTTCAATAAAACAGTCAGGTATGAGCAATACATTTAAGCGCAAATGAAAGCAAGATGTGCATGATATAGGAGATAGACCAGAGATGTGAGAGAAGGCATTGGTGCACTCTGACATGAGAACATCGCTGAGACCGCTCTGCCTCTCATCTTTCCTGATAATAGAGAAGATGTGTCAGTTTATTTTCTGAAGGTCTTTCTCAGCCTCTAAGCATAAAGTCATCGCGATTCCAATGTTGAGGTTTCTTTGATGAAAACTGATGGTCTTTTGCTCACCACAAACAGAAAGACAGTTAATAGAAAGCGTGTTTACAGAGCTACTACTGCCACCTCTCTTTCTATGGGGGAAACTCTGAAGACGTTCTGGGATGAGAGCACATTGCAAGGAGTTTTGTTACCTCTTGTTATTACACAGTGATAAAGGGGCCAGTCCTTCGTCCCCAGGCTGAGAAGGAAGACGAAAGGAGCAATGAGCAGAAATCAGTGGATCCCTTTTATTTATTTATTTTTATTCAGCAAAGCAGAAGCTGAGGAGCAGAAGAATGCTGAAGCTGGAACCAGAAGCAGAAGAGGGTCTGAAGACGCAGAAACATATGCCGTGAGTGGGGCCTGACCTTGATGGATGCTGTGTGAAACTGATACATTCTTCCTGTTAAGAGCACGTACTAGAATGGGAGAACGTACGAGAATGGGAGAACTTGACCTTTACTCCTAGTGTTAACACAAAGGTGTTAGCCTTTGCAAACTACTTTCCAGGGGGTCGCTCCACGTACCCTTCTTTTGACGGAGTCTTGTAACTTCACAGCTGAATTATGAGTTAAAAACATGTTTTCAAAAAAGCATGACTTAGCTGGGCAGTGGTGGCACAAGCACTCAGGAGGCAGAGGCAGGTTGATCTCTGTGAGTTTGAGGCCAACCTGGTCTACAGAGTGAGTTCCAGGATAGCCAGGGCTGTTATACAGAGAAACCCTGTCTCAAGGGAAAAAAGGGGGGCAATCACACACACACACACACACACACACACACACACACACACCACAGCAAGACTTAAAAGAGAGTTTAGCATTTACTTTATGTGTGTATGCCTGTGTCTGTGCATGTGTGCATGTGTGTATATGCACATGTGTTTGTGTGTGTGTTATGTGTGCATGCCTGCTCCCATATATGTATCAGTACATGGTTACCAAGGAGTACATATGGAGAATAGAGGTCAAAGGATAATTTGAAGGACCTGGTTGTCTCCTTCTACCATGTGCATTCTGGAGATTGAACTCAGGTCATCGGGCTTGATGATAACTGTCTTTACATGCTTAGACTCCATCAGGTCAGAAAGCATGATTTTTAAGTCTGAAATGTTGCAAAATTCATCTCCAGAGACTTGTATATCTTATCATCACCTGTTGTTTTGATGATGAACATCTCTTACTTTTCCCTCTAGACTGTCCTTTCCCTTACACTACCATTGAGATACTACAGAAACTATCTGCATCTTGACATCTTGCTTAAAACCCACACTTTAGGTCTAGGGAGATGACTCACAGGAACAGGTGCTGGGTACCAAATTTGACACTTTGAGTTAAATCACTGGAATCTATATTAATAAAATAAAGCTGATGTGGGCCATTGTAATCTCAGCACACCTATAGTAAGAAACTCTTTGACCAGATGGCCTGGAGTACTCAGGCATGCAACAACAGAATCTAAGAGTGACCTTGCCTGAACAAGGTGGATTGAAGGCAAGGACCAACTCCTGAAAGTTTCCTGTGACTTCTGTGATGTGTGTCTTGAGACCCTCACACACACACACACACACACACACACACACACACACACACACAAACACCAATATTTATGCTTCTTTCAAAGTTTAAATCTACTCTAGGCTAACTCACTATTTATCCTAAAATTAAAGAGCCCCTCTCTATTAAGAAATAAACATTCATATGTCAGTAACTTTTGTATTCTGACAAAACATGTGTTGATTAACTCCACCTTCTCCCTTGACCTTGCAGAAGCTGTGTGAAGGATATCGCAAGGTCAGAAAGAATGGACAACTATATTGCACCAGAGAGAATGACCCAATCAGGGGCCCCGATGGGAAACTCCATGGCAACACATGCTCCATGTGTGAGGCTTTCTTGTGAGTACAGTAGGGGGCCCTAGACTTGTGCGGGGTCATGGGAACTATCATGGGAAGATTTGGCTTGAGGGTCTTCAAAGTGGAGAAAAAAAAATGCATTTTCATTGTCTATGTATCTCTCAGCTTTGAGGGTCACATTTAAACATCAGCAAATAACAACCAAAAACAAATGGAGAGCTTTCAGAATGTGACTATTATGATAGAAACAGTTGTAGACTAGTCAGGAAACACAAAAAAAGAAGTAAGGCATGAGATCACTTCTAAGGGGAACTTCAAATAAAATCCAGATAGCAAGCAGCAGAGCAGTGGTTGTCAGTGGCTGGGGTGGTGGAAGGTGTATAGTGTGGATGAGGAGATGCTGAACTGGTGCAGTTGGGCAGGAAAGGCTCTCCTTCATACCATGTTCTGGAGAGAATGGAGCCATTCTAATTCATTGACTAATTAACAATCCAATTCATTAGCATATATATATATATATATATATATGTATATATATCTTGGTGTCCAAGGCTTCAGGGTAGCCTGAAATAAGTCAAAACATCGATCAATGATGAGCCCATGAGTTTGATGAATTTCTGCTCTAGCCATATGACTTGTTTCTTCATAGTCTCTTCCTTCCTCCTTTTCTCGTAGTATTCTAGAAGACAGAGCAAGAGCAAAGGTTAAAAGAGAAGCTGCAAAGGTAATTTTCTCAGATCTATTGTTGCTGTGCCCTACAGTTTTGGTTCCATGGTGGCATGATGTTTAAGTTGCCCACTAGCATAGTGTTTACTGTCTAAACTTCATGCCTGATAAACAAATGAAACATGTAACCTTCATACTTACAGTCCAGCTCTCAGGAGGCTGATTTGAGCCCAGAAGTTAAAGACAAGCCTGGTATATTTTTAGTTAGAAACAGGTATGACCAGTGGCTAGTGGATGAGTGGGAGAGAGAGAGAGAGAGAGAGAGAGAGAGAGAGAGAGATCTTAACCAAAAAAAAAAAAATGATCATGATCAGATGCTTGCAAAATACCAACTTTATTTTATTGTTGTTAAAATTTTGAGGCTCATCTATAGTGAAAGATGAGAGGGTCCACTTTTGTAAGTGATTTTTTGCATGTGTTTGGCCTTCATTAGGTTTAGTTTATATAGGCAGAGATTGTAAATACTTAATATGTGCTATTTACTAAGATTAATTTACATCATCCATACCTTTAGAGTGCATCCAGTGGACAGTACAAAATTCCAATCATTCTAAACTTCCAATGCCAAGCAGGCATGTTATCATGTTTGTCATGGGAAAAGAACTAGTTTCTTAACCTCAATTCCCAGGATTATTCATTTTGACTTTCCAATCACTCTTAGTCTACATCCTTGATTTTACACTTTTACTGTTTTATAGATCCCTAAGAGAAGTATGTCTGTGTAGATGACAGATTAGTTCCACTTAATAAACATTTACAAGATTTTCCCAGTGTGTATTTTTAACATCCTTGAATGTACAAACATCATTATTTGGGGAAAGTTTACATATTTTAAAAGTTTACCTTTAAACTGATTTTTTAAAATAATAATTGCTTTGTTAGCTGGAACTATCTTTTTATTAGTAATTTAGATGCAAAATTGGATGTATACATTATATTTGACTAGATATAGAGCCCTGTTAAATACCCCCATTGCCTTCCTTCTGCCTTCTCTAATAGGGTTGCTCTAGCTCACATCCACATCTCCTTCCCTTTGAGGATCCCATCCTGAAGATAGGTCAAAATCTCCAAACTTCAGACTTGTTCTCCCCTCTGATACAAACACTAATTATTTCTTAGCCGAACATGTTTTTTCCCTTTTTTTTCTCAGAATTCTGAACATAAAGGAGAGCTCAGCAATAACCTCAGTTCCTCCAGGAAAGGTTCCTGAGGCTCGTTGAGTCTCTTCCTTTGTCACCTTTCACAGGTTTTACAGGCTGCAACACGCAGTACAACACATAATAAGATGATGTAGATGTATCTATGGGTGTCCACCAACATGTTCTGCCTTATTCTGAAGCCAAGTTATAAATATACTGAGTGATAGTGATGTTTATACTATTGCTGCAAATGCCAGGACCATGTGGAAATTTTCTTCTTTAAAAAAATTGTAATTTCCTTTATTAATATAGTATTTCATGTAAGATGCAATGAAATAGGATATTATCCATCTTCTATTTCCCCTCCTACCTCCTCTTATATGTTGTCTTACACATCTTCCTTGCAGCATCTTTTCTTTTCTTTTTCTGGTAATCCACTAAATCCAATTAGAACTGCCCATATATACATGGCTATGGGACCATTGGCAAGAGTATGAGAACTATCTGGTCAGATCATCAAAGAAGAATAGGTGTGTCTCCCTCAGTAACTATCCACTACCAATATCTCCTTAATGAGGATGGAGCTAGAGAAAACCTTGGCCAACTATGCTGGCATTCTAGCTAGCTAGACTTTGCGCAGGCAGCCACAGTTGCTATGAGTTCTTTAAAATGAAGGCCATGGCATATCCAACAAACAGCAGTTCACAGTAGTCCTTCCCATCCTCCAGTTCTTACAATCTTCCATCTCCTCCTTGAGGGTGTGCCCCAAACACCAGCAGAGAGGAAGTTAACTGATGAAGATGTTCCATGTAGGTCTGAACATTCAATCTCTTATTGAAGACACTTTGACCTGCTATGTACACCTACAGCAAAAAAAAAAAAAAAAAAAAAAAAGAAGAAGAAGAAGCTTCTGTTACCAAGGTTGAAGTCAGCTTGAGTGTAGAGGTATAAACATAACTGTTTAGAAGCCAGTTTGACAACATAACTCCTTATTGAAATAACAAAGGCAGCTTCTACCCTGGGACCTGCTACTCTCTTAGTCATGGGCTTTTGACCAGGATTGTAGCACCAGGCAGAAAAGTCTCTCCTTTGAGCCAGCTTCGTGTCCTATCACAAAGCAATTAGTTACTCTATACCAGTTGTGACACTATTGCACCCATAGGTGCTTCTTGCCTGGTAGGTGGGTACCCTAGAATGCGAGTCGAGCACTAGGTAAAACCATTGATATGTTTTCTCTAGCCATCTAGATAGCATCTTTTGGTATTGAAAACTAGGCAGCAGGAAGGTAGTTTCCAAGTCAGCTTGAGACTAATTTTCTAATTCTAGTCAGAGTGTGCTGTCTTCAACAGAAGTCTAGCCATAAAGTTATGACAATTAACTAAGAACATTGGCGATAGTTGGGATTGTTTTGGAGACTTCTGGGACTTTGCTGACCAATAGCTCAGAGGATATCCCATGCTTTGTACTGCAATTTTTAATTAATAATGGGAACAAAATTGTCTACCCATGCAGGGCAATTCTGTTTCAATTCTTTGTGTAAAATGTTGTATTAGCTTACACACTAGTGGGTTTCCTTAAGGGTTTTTTGTTTTTGCTTGTTTTTGTTTTTCATTTTTTTTCTTTCTTTTTTTTTATTGAGAAAAGGAGAAAAAAAAACAAGTTTCCACCTCCTCCCAGCCTCCTATTTCCCTCCCCCTCCTCCCACCCTACGCCCCCTCCTCCCACCCTACGCCCCCTCCTCCCACCCTTCTCCCCCTCCCCCCACTCCTTTCCCCCTCCCTCTCCAGTCTAAAGAGCAGTCTGGGTTTTCTGCCCTGTGGTAAGACCTAGGACCTCCCACCTCCGTCCATATCTAGGAAGGTGAACATCCAAACTGGCTGGGCTCCCACAAAGCCATCACATTACGTAGAATCAAACCCCCGTGCCATTGTCCTTTGCGTCTCATCAGCCCTCATAGTTCGCCATGTTCAGAGAGTCCAGTTTTATCCCATGCTTTTTCAGTCACAGTCCAGCTGGTCTTGGTGAGCTCTCAATAGATCAGCTCCACTGTCTCAGTGGGTGGGTGCATCCCTCGTGGTCCCGACTTCTTTGCTCATGTTCTCCCTCCTTCTGCTCCTCATTGGGACTTTGGGAGCTCAGTCCAGTGCTCCAGTGTGGGTCTCTGTCTCTATCTCCATCCATCACCAGATGAAGGTTCTATGATGATATGCAAGATATTCGTCAGTATTGCTCAACGATAGGGTCATTTCAGGTTCCCTATTCTCAACTGCCCAAGGAACTAACTGGGGACCTCAGCTTGGGCACCTGGGAGCCCCTCTAGTGTCAGGTCTCTTGCCAACCCTAAAGTGGTTCCCTTAACTAAGAATTGTGGTTCCGTGCTCCCCTGTCCAACCTTCCTTTATTCCAATCCTCCTGCTTTCCCAAGGCCCGACCTCTTTCCCTTCTACCTTTTCTCTCCCCATCTCCCCTTACCCGCAACCCACCCCACCCCAAGATCCCAATTTTCTCCCCGGCAATTTTGTCTACTTCCCTTAGCCAAGAGGATAACTATATGCTTTTCCTTGGGTTCCCCTTCTTACTTAGCTTCTTTAGATTCACCTATTGTAGACTCCGTGACCCTTATTTATGGCTAGAAACCAATTATGAGTGAGTACATCCCATGTTCATCTTTTTGGGTCTGGGATACCTCACTCAGGATAGTGTTTTCTATTTCCATCCATTTGCATGCAAAATTCGAGAAGTCATTGTTTTCTACCGCTGAGTAGTACTCTAATGTGTAGATATTCCATACTTTCTTCATCCATTCTTCCATTGAAGGGCATCTAGGTTGTTTCCAGGTTCTGGCTATTACAAATAATACTGCTATGAACATAGTTGAACAAATGCTTTTGTCATATGATAGGGCATTTCTTGGGTATATTCCCAAGAGTGGTATTGCTGGGTCCAGGGGTAGGTTGATCCCGAATTTCCTAAGAAACCGAAACACTGACTTCCATAGTGGTTGCACAAGATTGCATTCCCACCAGCAATGGATGAGGGTACCCCTTCCTCCACAACCTCTCCAGCAAAGGTTATCGTTGGTGTTTTTGACTTTAGCCATTCTCACAGGTGTAAGATGATATCTCAAAGTTGTTTTGATTTGCATTTCCCTGATTGCTAAGGAAGTTGAGCATGATCTTAAGTGTCTTTTGGCCATTTGAACTTCTTCTGTTGAGAATTCTCTGTTCAGATCAGTGCCCCATTTTTTAATTGGGTTAATTAGCATTTTAAAGTCTAGTTTCTTGAGTTCTCTATATATTTTGGAGATCAGACCTTTGTCTGTTGCGGGGTTGGTGAAGATCTTCTCCCATTCAGTAGGTTGCCTTTGTGTCTTAGTGACAGTGTCCTTTGCTTTGCAGAAGCTTCTCAGTTTAAGTAGGTCCCATTTATTCAATGTTGCTCTTAATGTCTGTGCTTCTAGGGTTATACATAGGAAGCGATCTCCTGTGCCCATCTGTTGTAGGGTATTTCCCACTTTCTCTTCTATCCTTTTCAGTGTGTTCGGGCTGATATTGAGGTCTTTAATCCATTTGGACTTGAGTTTGTGCACGGTGAAAGATGTGGGTCTATTTTCATTCTTCTACAGGTTGACATCCAGTTGTGCCAGCACCATTTGTTGAAGATGCTTTCTTTCTTCCATTGTATACTTTTAGCTCCTTTATCAAAAATGAGGTGTTCATAGGTTTGTGGGTTAAAATCCGGGTCTTCTATACGATTTCATTGGTCGACTTCTCTGTTTTTATGCCAGTACCACACTGTTTTCATTACTGTAGCTCTGTAATAGAGTTTGAAGTCAGGGATGGTAATGCCTCCAGAAGATCCTTTATAGTCGCCCTCTTATACACAAAGGATAGGGAAGCAGAGAGGGAAATCAGAGAAGCTTCACCATTCACGATAGCCACAAACAGCATTAAATATCTTGGGGTAAATCTAACCAAGGAAGTGAAAGATCTATTTGACAAGAACTTTAAGGCATTGAAGAAAGAAATTGAAGAGGATACCAAAAAATGGATGGATCTACCTTGCTCTTGGATTGGGAGGATCAACATAGTAAAAATGGCAATTCTACCTAAGGCAATTTATAGATTCAATGCAATCCCCATCAAGATCCCATCAAAATTCTTCACAGATCTGGAGAGGACAATAATCAACTTTATATGGAAAAACAAAAAACCCAGGATAGCCAAAACAATCCTATACAATAAAGGATCTTCTGTTTTTCATTTTTTTTTCTAAGACAGGGTTTCTTTGTGTAGCTTTGGTGCCTGTCCTGGAACTAGCTCTTGTAGACCAGGTTGACCTCACAGAGACCTGCCTGCCTCTCCTCTCTAGTTCTTAGATTAAAAGCATGTGCCACCACTGTCCAGCATCCATAAAGGTTTTTTTTTTTTTTAATGCACATATAGTTGTGATTAGCCTGACTTTATACCATCCTCTTCCCAGGCCCAAGCGCTTAATTCTTTAACACCAAGTAATCCATTCTCTTTTCTACTATTTCATGTGTTCTACTCTCCCTCCAACTGTATGGTTGAATTGGGGTGTGAGGCTTACATATGGCTTTTCCCACAACTCCCTCTACTCCCTGGTTTCCCGCATACACTTGTGCTCTTTCCTGATAAAACCTTTTCACCCTCAGTATCCAACCACTCCATTTTTGCTTTGTCTACAGTCTACACCCTCCCTCCCTCACTGTGTGTTCCTTCCTAAGGCCTCTTTCTGTTCACCTGGTTTCTTCTTTGATCCAATTTAAATATACACGTAAAACAATGTATTTGAAGCTTGGATCCTCATATGAGAAAGAACCTAAAGCATTTGTCTTTCAGGCCCCAAGTTACCCAATTCAGCAATTTTTTTTCCTAATTTATCATTTATGCTCATGGGTTTTGTTTTCTTACAGCTGAGCAACCCTTGTGCATATAAGGTTTTGATGAGCACTTTGTTCTTAATGATTTATTGCAACATTAGTATTTCTCCTTAAATTTTTCTGAATCACTAAACATTATTTATTACTCATAGTAAAATAACATACCGGATAAGTAGTAACTGTCTTAAGACGCATCTTTTTCAACTTCCAGGAAATCTGCAGTGAGTTCCGGGACCAAGCAAAGGATGGGATGCTCATGTGCACTAGGGAAAATGACCCTGTTGTTGGCCCAGATGGAAAAACACATGCAAACAAATGTGCCATGTGTGCAAGTGTGTTGTGAGTATGCACCCTCGTGTCTTCAGCTAATCGTACACCATTATCCTTCCCTGGGTTTGAGATTCCAGGGTGTATGCTAGAAAAACCTTATAAACAGATGGATGTAATATTAAGTAATATTGAACAATAAAGTGACATCATTTTCTATTCACTTCTGTTCCTTCTGTCTTCTTATTATGTCAAGTTGCTAGACTCATCACTAAATGTTTATACTTGACTGTCTTCATTTACAAAAAAGAAGAAAGCACACCTCAGATTGGATCAGGTGTTTTCTTTGGCCTCTCTCTTACTTCTGGCAGTCTGTGATTCTGTGAATATATTCAGATATGGGTTAAAAACAAAGTTGGATGAAAAACTGTGGAGGTAGTGTACAAGGACTGTTAAAATACCTGACCAGGAAGTGGAATAGCGAACATTGTGTTCACCCTTTTATGGAGATCATTACCCTCTGCCAGTGGAAAGTATGGTTTGGTAAGTGCCTTAGTGGAGGGTAAAACCCCTCAGAGACAAGCTCACAAACTAAAACATACAAAAACTTCTGTCTGTAAAGCTAGTTGAAACCTTCTAGCTCTTCCTTTGCCAGATGATGTGGGCAAACCTGTTGCCAGAGTTCTCCTATGTGAGATAATATAGAATGTGTCCTGTTCCAGTTTTATACTGAAATCATGAGTCCAGCCCACTAAGATTTCAGTAGCTACCTTTTGAGGTTTTTCATAATACTAAGCTACTCCTGAGAGCGACCTCAAGATAAGTGTTGAAAAATTATCTTCAAGTTATGAGCCTTATTTATCTCCATACTATATTTATGTAAAACACAAAGTTATTGATTATCTTAGTCTTTACAGATTGGTTGATCCATCCTTAAGTGTATGCCTATAATTCTTCAAGTAAAGAAATAGTGTAAGTAGATCAATAGGATAAGTAATGGCCTACAACTCAAGAAGAAACAAGTTTGTCTCATTTGTTCTCATTGATGCTGACGATCAGATGTGGTAAATGCTAATACTTTGAATTCTGGCATGTCATATGTCAGTAAAAAATGCAAGAATGGGGTGAGCTTGTTGATCCAAATTTGAATCTTCAGCTTGGAGGCTAGAACAAGAAGACTGTGGGTTTGAGGCCAGCCTAGACTGCATGGTAAGACATTGTCTCAAAATAAGAGCAAAAACAAAAGCAAAACCTAGACTATTAGGCTGGTGGTGGACCTCATAAAGCTTATAGTTGAATCTTACTGGGCTTCTTTAATAATGATTGCAACTAAAATTTGAATTGTCATGTACTTAGCTATGCTAAAATATTTAAATTATTATCTTATCATGAGGAATTGTTTAAGTTATGACGTCCTTTAATGATTGCAACTAAAATTTGAATTGTCATGTACTTAGCTATGCTAAAATATTTAAATTATTATCTTATCATGAGGAATTGTTTACATTATGATGTCTCCACCATCTAACTTGGCATCATTTTTTGCTATCATCAATTACATCATAGCAACTTTGGAGGTAAAAGTTTCATAATTTAGAAAAGAATCAAGATAATTGTGGCCTCTTATAGATTGAAATCAATGACATACAGAAAATAACATCAGCAGAGGTCCTTGCACACTGATAAATATGTCTTCCTTTGTCGTTGTTATTGCTTTTTAAGAGGTGTAATATAGACAGAAATCTTTGCATGTTGTCCAAAATAATCACACCTCCTAAGACAGGTAGTTTTATCCTGAAATGTTTATACTTTTATTTTTTTTAATCATCATCATTTGTACATGTGTGCTCTGTGTGTGTGTGTCTGTGTGTGTGTGTGTGTGTGTGTGTGTGTGTGTGTGCAGGCTTGCTCTGCCACAGTACACATATAAAGCTCAGTGTATGTGTGTGTTTATGTGTGCGTATGTGTGTGTGTACAAACATGTACTACCACAATGCACATACAGAGCTCACTGTGTATGTGTTTATGTGTATATGTGTGTGCAAGCATGTATTACCACAGTGCAACATATAGAGCTCAGTGTGTGTGTGTGTGTGTGTGTGCAAGCATGTACTACCACAGTGCACATAAAGAACTCAAAGGAAAACTTTCTCAAGTTATTTCCCTCTTCCCATAATGGGTTCCAGGGACTGAACTCAGGTCATGGGGCTTGATTAATAAGTACTTATATTTGCTGAGCCATCTCCCTGGTCCAGTGTCCAGGAGACTTCCAAGATTTGGTTGTAGACATTCTATTCCTTCTGGAAATGTGTCGGAGTAATTGGAGAAATGAATTTAGCTTGTGTCTTCTATTTCAGCCTACTAGAAGAGGAAGAGAAGAAAAAAGAGGACAAAGGAGAGAAGGATAAGGTTGAGGCTGGAAAGTTGAAGAGAGAAGCAATACAGGTATCTGCTCCAGAAATCATGGCACACACATGTCCAGTCATTATTCTCTTTGGCCAAATCACCAGTCTCAGCATCCTTAATGACTTTGACAACTGGGAACATAAATTTGAATCCTCATGTCTAAAAAATTGTGTCATTTTTACTACACTTATTTATTCTTATTCTCTGATGTTTATATGTTTGACTTCAAGCTTTTGCATTCTCCTTATTTGAAAGCTCTCCTTTGTCTATGTGGTGGGGATGGTGGTACCTTGCACTCCATGTGTGTGTGTGTGTGTGTGTGTGTGTGTGTGTGTTTGTGTGTGTGTGGTGCATGCATATGAATGTGTGGTTGTGCATCTCCTGTGTAGGAAGTGGAGGGCAGATAGGAACAGTTATGCATTCTGTGCTCACTGCCCTTTGATGGGTCTTGCTGTCTGTCCTAGAAGTTTTATAATTAGTCTAGCTAAACAGTCTACCTGTCTCTGCCCACTCCCCAATACTGGAGTTACAGCACACACAGCTATGCTTAGCATTTTTTGTGAGAGCTAATGATTAAAAGTAGCTATTATTCTGCATACCACAGACTTTATTACCAAACCAAGACACTAAATTATTATGCCTTTTGTCTCTCATAGTTACTATATCAAAATAATGTTTAGTATTTTTAATAATTATAATATCAGCAATCTTATATTCCAAATAATGTGTTACTTAAGTCTATGAACAAGGTATCAGTTAAAACTGATATCTGATGTCACTTTGTACATCTGTGATATGTTGTTGCAAGACATCACAGTTTTCAAAGGGGGTGACAGGTGGAGGAAGTTTTACAGTGTTTAGCGATCTGCTTCTCAAACACTCCTTCTTTTGACAGGAGCTATGTAGTAAATACCGTTCCCAGGTAAGAAATGGCCGGCTCCCCTGCACCAGAAAGAATAACCCCATTGAGGGCCTGGATGGGAAGATCCATGAAAACACCTGCTTCATGTGTGAAGCTTTCTTGTGAGTACAGCGGCAGCCAGTACTGCTGAGTATCAAATGTACAGGTGGGACTGCCAGCTTGCTCCAGGACATTGATAATAAAGCCTGTCTTTCTTTGTGATGAGTTTGGGGGATGAATTATCAAGACACACAATGACAGCACTTTCTTTCTACTGCTTCAGTGTTCTGAAGGATGCTTAAATTAACATTATGTTAGGTTCATGTACTAATAATAGATTTCCTCAGAGCCGATGACATAAAATGCTGGATCTTGATTTCTATATAATGAGTGGTCGTCACCATGATTAATAAATACAAAGGTGGAATCGTTAGGTGATCTCAAGTAGAAATTTTGTTAGTGCTTAATCATCCTTCTAGTTGCTTTCAGATATAAAAGACAACTCTTTATCCATCAAAAATGTAGTGGGAGTTGGATTTGTTATTGTGCGACAACATTTATATTTTATTTTTAAAGCAATGTTAAAAGGAAGAAGAGAGATATAGAGGAACGTATTTATTTATTTTTCAATTACCAAATTAAGCAGAGATGTAGAGTAAATAGGACCATTCTACCTGAGATTTTTTTTTCTTTAAGATGCTATGCATTGGTGCTGGTAATGACTCTTGCCAATCCCTCTCTTGCAGCCAGCAAGAAGCAAAAGAAAATGAAGCTGTGTTCACAGTAAAGATTAAAAGAGATGTTAAAAAGGTAACTATCCTGTGATGCTCAAATTACGATGGAAAGGTCAAGTTTTGACATTTTGCTGTTAACATCACACAGAATTATTGATGATCCTGGCTGTGAGGAAACTTGGGGGTCAATATAGTCTGGAGTTTGACAAGAATTTTTTTTTCTAACTGTATATTTAGATTCAATTACCAAGCAGTTTCCATAAAACTTTAATCATACCTGCTTAGCTTTACTATCTAGCCACCAAATCCTAGTCTTAATAACCAGAGAGTATACTATTTCATTTGTGTGGACATGCAGCCTCTGCCGCTACGACTAATTCTGCAGTTGTGGCTAGAAGAACAGCCACAGACTTACACACTCTAGCGTGTCTACTTTCCCTTACGTCTTTATTCACAAGTATCATGGTACAGAGGGCAAATGGCCAAACTCTGATCACATTACACAGTTTCAAATTTACTTTGTCCTCAGATTGTCTGATGGAGATTTAAGTCTAGAGAGCAGGAAGAACATGATTACAAAATTAATGCTTTAGGGGCCATTAGAACCCATGTTTCTAAGTTCTTATAGGGGATAAAATAGAAAGAAAGAAATTAAACACAGGGGTCCTGACTGCCCCCAAACCGAGAAATCTTCCTAAGACACTTTGCTTTACTTTTTTATTGTCACCTATGAGGGAGAAATTTTTTTAAAGGCAGCATTCCTAAGAAATATTTTTGATGGTTCAGAGTGACTGACTCAAGGTAACTTACTACAGACTGTGGTAACTTCTCTGTACCCATCAAAGGCCATATGCACTAGAATCAAGTCTCTGAAGACCTCCTGAGTTTTGAACCTGGAGGATGACTACTTACACACTTGAATTGCAGGGAAGTGTGAACCTGAAATTAAAAACAGCACAAGTGTTTTACGTTTCCAACGTCTTCAGGATAAAATCCCTCCCCCACGGCCATCTGCATTCGGTATAATGCAGTTTCCACCTTTGCCTTCACTTTGGCAGGCAAGATTTATTGCTGATCGTGTTTCTAATTATGAGCAATCAAGGAACGTGGCAGCGATTGTGAGAGAAGAAGAGAGATGGGCAGGGATGTGTTCTCTATCATTATTGACTTTTAACTTCTGACAGGGCTAATAGGAGAAACACAAAATCAATCCTAATTGCCACCAGTAATTAACCCTATGGTTAAGTGATTTGTGTATTTTCTCAGTTCTTCATATTTTAGAGCTAGCATCTTTTGGGTACTTTCTAGACTTTAGTCACTAAGCATTTAAACAAATATTAGCTGCATATTTCCCATTATTAAGTCATGAAGAATATTCTTATTTCCATCTTATAGGTGAGGGAATTCAACCAAAAGTGGTAAGAACAGTTATTTAAGCTTTCTTGGTAAAAAATTAGAATTCTAACAACATGACATAGGCATGAACAGAGAGTGCTAGCCAGGCCACACTTGGGATTCTATCCTACTCAGGAAAGGATGAGAAACCAGTTCAACAGATCTTGTTAAATTCATGTCATAAACAGCAACCCTGCAGTGTCTGGTCATCTATGGCACTTGAGAGAGAATACTGGGAGGCCTTTCTAAGACGCAGTTTCTGGTGCTTTGGAGATCTGTTCCAGGCTACCCCATCCTGACTTGCCCCATTTGGTTAGCTGGGAGCATGTCAGTCAAGAAACACCACCCCAACTGTGGCTTTTAAGGATACCAGAAAGACTTTGTAGAACAGAGGTGGGAATTCACTGAATTCCAATTACCCTCTCCAGCCTCAGTGTGAAGTTTCTGGAGAAGATAGGTGCCGACTTTGTCAGAGGCTCAAAGAAAAAGAATCTAAAAGAAAAAAGCCTGGCTGGCAGGCCCATCAAGACACTGAGAATCACAACAAGGGAGCAGTTTGTATGGAAGATCTAAGATGTGGGTTAATCCTGATGAGAATCTACAAGCAACCCCTTGTCTCACACAGTTTTTCTGAGATGGCAAAACAGATTATTTCCATCAGTTCTGAGCTAGGAATGGAGGCTGAAGCCACTATTGACCTAAGTCAGCTGTTTCAGTAAATTGTAATAAATGCACTCAGTCAGTTGTTGAGGAAGAAGAAAGCTTTTTCCAAATATTGGAAAAAATATAACTTGGAAAAAGAAAATAATTCCTGACTTTTTTAAAGGACATATAATATTGCATTTAATATACTGATCTCAAGAAGCATATTTATCATATTTTACTAATTTAGGAAAAGTAAGTCTTTAGTATAGGACTCTTACAAGGTTTTCTAAGGTTCTTTTTTTTTTTTTTTTTTTTTGGATTTTTCGAGACAGGGTTTCTCTGTAGTTTTTGGTTCCTGTCCTGGAACTAGCTCTTGTAGACCAGGCTGGCCTCGAACTCACAGAGATCCGCCTGCCCCTGCCTCCCGAGTGCTGGGATTAAAGGCGTGTGCCACCACCGCCCAGCTTCTAAGGTTCTTTTCGAGTACTCCTCAAAGCAGCACTGTAGCTAATTTGTTGAGTTTATCCGGTGGAAATTTCATTTGGGGATGAGGCATATGGAAAGGTAATGGAAGAGCGTCCAGTCTTTAAATAGAAAGCAGAAGCCATCTTTGTTCTGGATCATGTAAAAGGAATCAAGAGAGTATGGATGGTAGGCAAACTTGAAGATTTTCTTCAAAATATGATGGTGTTTTTATCGCCTTATAACAGAATTGATATGAGCAATAAACCTTTGAGCAACTATTGTGCCCAATCCTCAGAAAATACAGTATAAGAGGAGTGAGAAAGCTCAGGGAGTAAATGTGCTTGCCACCCAGCCTGGCTATATGAGTTCAATCCCCAGGACCCATATGATGGAAGGGCAGACCTGAGTCCCTCAAGCTGTTCTCAGACCTCACTCCTGCATAAACACACACACACACACACACACACACATAATAGAGAAATAAATGGTTTTTAAAATATAAATGAACTACAGTTTATTAAGAGAATTTTACATGTGTGTGGATCCAGGGCTCAATTTTAAAGTGGACAAACCACAAAGCCATTTATTGGTCCAATGTACTTGGTAGGAATTGAAAGTTAAAGTCACCAGAGATAGGGAAAATACTTTGGTTCTCTCCCTCCCTCCTTTCCTCCACCTCTTTCTTTATCCAAGAAAATATTTAAACTTTTGCAATTATCTTCTTTTCTCAGGACTGCAATGAATTTATGAGTCTTTTAAAGGATGGAGAACTTTACTGCACACGAGAAAATGACCCTGTGCGTGGCCCGGATGGCAAGACCCATGGGAACAAGTGTGCCATGTGCAAGGCTGTCTTGTGAGTAAAAAGACACACGATGCAGCACCTACTGTGAGTCCAGAGAGTAGGAGAAGCCACAAGCCTGCAAACTTAGCCATGCACACTATTGTACATGAGGGACAATTCCTAGGAGAAGCCACATGCCTGCAGACTTAGACATGTTCACTGTTATGCATGAGAGACAATTCCTAGGAGAAGCCACACGCCTGCAGACTTAGACATGCACACTACTATGCATGAGAGACAATTCCTAGGAGAAGCCACATGCCTGCAGACTTAGACATGCACACTACTATGCGTGAGAGACAATTCCTAGGAGAAGCCACACGCCTGCAGACTTAGACATGCACACTACTATACGTGAGAGACAATTCCTACTGTGAGTGAGGAAGGTGTGAAAGGCAATAATCCAAGCAGACTTACACAATATAATATTATACACGATATTCATTACATATGAAAGGAATGATTGTCTAAAAAGTATCTTCAGGGGGATCTCTTATTTTCATCCCCAATAGTTATAATTCTAGAAGCAGTATACTACTAGACTGTTATACTTCTTACTAGTTTTCTCAGCAGATAATCACATATTTGCTGATAAAAATATTTATCCATTGTCAAATGCTCTTTATCTTCGAATTCCAGTTAGGAAGAATATACACAGGATCTTTTAGTCTCTCTGTACAGTACTTTGGGGAAAATCATATTTCAGGAAATAAATGTAAGTAATGCCTCACACGGGGTATAGAAGTACATCTAAAACATCCAAATCATTCAAGAGCTATTTACTGAACACATACAGTACCCAGTGTGTGTAATGATTAAACAAAGATGAATGAGACGGGTTGGTGCCAGAGATGACACAATTTGGGGGTTCTTAAACCTTTGCCACTCACATCGCCTTTTCCGTGAGAAATTTTTATTGTACACCTGGATACATAAAATAAATACACAAATCATTCCAGGACAGGCTCCAAAACCACAGAGAAACCCTGTCTCGAAAAAAGCAAAAAAAAAAAAAAAATACACAAATCAAACACTTACTTGTAACTATCCTGAAGCACTTTAAATAAAACAATTATTTACCATATATTTAATTAGAGAAAATCAAATGAATGAGCACTACTGTTCAGTTGTAAATTAAGAATTAAATTTTGGCTGAGTATTTGATAGTGCAGGACACAAAACATCTCCAAATCTTTCAAAGTTGATTAATATTTTGATCATATAATCATCAGTGCTGAGAATGCAATTTTTGCATAAGTATGTAGTCTTAAATGGCAGAAGTATACTTGAAGTCATCTTAGGAATTGTTGAAAATTATATACTAATCTGAAGACAAAATTTGTTTTAAAAATATTTTCTGAAATACAAGTCAGAAATTCACAGAGCAATTTGAAAATCAAACACTCAAATATAATGCAATCAAAAGATAAAGTAGCTTGATTCATCTGTGCTGAAGAATGATGACGGAAAGTCTTTAGTCCCCACAATTAAGTCATTATGTTCCTGTACGAACATAAAACTTTTAGTTTATAGGAAAACAAAAGCACTGCAATCCACAACTTGTAATAGTTGTGAGCCTGAGCTGAGATCTTAGGCAGTTCTCTACGGCATTGAATAGCTGACATCTCCCACGGAGGAGAGCGTGCATATTGTGTGTTCCAAACAATGCTGAGGCGAAGTCCGTGATGCAACACAGGCAGTGCAGGGATCCATTGCATGCTTCATTGGAAATTAATTTTCGATCATCACACGTTCAGAAATCTTTACTGTTGCCATCTTTTACAACACTCCCATCCATATCCTTGATCCCTATGGAATGGGGGTGGTCCACCAGCTATTGTCTGCATCTAAGGTAATAAACACGAAGCTGGCTTTCAGACGTCAGTGAAGGGAGAGCTAATGGAAAGTTTTGGGTGGAAATGGACCTGAACGTTATAATTTGGGTAAAGACATGTAAATGATATGCCAGGGCCATGTGAGAGAATAACAGACTGCATATGGTCCGAATTAGGAAAACCGTGGTATGTAAGAAACCAACACTTAGAACTCAGAAGCTTTACCAACTTTCTGTGTCAAACCAGGGACGTGGACATCAATTCTAAGAGCAGTGAGGGCTACAAAAATGTTTCAGTTAGGGGAGGAAATGGCAGCAAAATGGTTTCTTTAAGGAACATGCACGCAGCAGCGATCAGTAGAAGGGAAGTCTAACATTCCCAATGCGACCTGTGCTAGGGACTGACGGGTTGCCGTTACCCAGTGAGGGCCAGCTAGAGGGAGGAAGCAAGACACAAGTTGTCAAGGTGAGGGGTGGGTGATAGAAAAATATTAACAAAAGACAGCTATACAAGCCAGAAGAAGAGATACAGCTGGAGGTAATTTCAATGTTTTGTTTTTGAAAAGTGAATGATAGAGGAAGAAGCTCATGCTTACTAAAGAAAATGATAATTATTGGGTCCTCTTGTAGATGAAAAAAAAAACTTTAAGAAATAAAGTTAAAGGTCCTGAGCAAACCATTTAGTAAATACTAACTAGCTGGTAGCTAAGTAGATGTTGTTTTTCTCTTAGTATGAGGAAAATTTTGCCAAGCAAAGGACTTCACATAATCCATCTATTGGATTTTCTGAGAAGAGGGCTTGTAACATAGATATTAAATACATCCTGATAAATTCCATCTAGATCCAATTGATTGGCTCATAGAAAAGTAATCGTTGTTCAGTAAGCTATTGTTCCTTTCACTTTCTGACTTTCAGCGACAGAGAAAAAGAAGAAAGAAGGAAGAAAGAAGAGGAAAATCAGAGAATCACTTCAGGCCATGGCTCTGGTGGTGGGAGGCAGAAGGCTAAGGTGAGCGGTAGCCCTAGCTTTCACGGCCTGTGTGGGTGGAACTCAGTGCCTGTGAGACTGGGATGGGGCTGGAGGGAAAGGGAAAGGCAGAGAGTGCCCAGACAAACAGGTCCTTGGAAGAACAGTCTTCCACCTTGGCCTCTCTGGTAAGATACTAATAAATCCTGCTGCTCTGTGACTCTTGACTTCTTTAGATCTGGAATTAATTGAGACAGTGAAACTTCCCAGGCTCCTGAGCCTTTTCTAGTTCATTAATCTTCGTGGCAGTCTTGATTCTCATCAGTATCTTTACTTTCTTTCACTCTTCTTTATTTCTGAGGATTAGGCCAAGCCTGTGAATTATCTTTTCTGCTCTCCAAAGCAGGACAGTATGATGAAACAGAACAGACCAGGGAGTCTGTACAATCGGCCTCTTACCATATAGACTTATGAAACTTTGGATAAATTACCTCATCTCTTTTATCTCAAAGTTCTCTTAAAGAGAGAGGGGAAAATAACTTAGATAGGAGAAAACTCCTTCTGAGCACATTTGAGACACTTTGCAGAGAGAGCACGGCATCGTCTAATGAGATACAGCATCATTTCATAGATTTCTGCTGCCTGTTCACCTTCTTAAGGCTGTAGGGAGATCAAGGCCATCACTTTGCTCCCAAATACACTACCTGTAATAAAAAATCTGCCTTTTCTGTTTTGTCTAGTGTGTCTGCTTTAGGACAATAAATTCCCACTCTCAGAAAATAAATGTGCTCAGGCTGTTTGTTTGCCTTCTCCGGATTGTGGAACGTGTCTAGTGAACACGTTGCCTTTATCTAGAGAAGAAGTGACAAATGATGCTTAAATAAAGAAATAAATGAAAGATTATTTCATTGAAACATTATACATCTGAACACAGAGAAATGTAGATCTGGCCTTTGGTATACAGTTTTCTAACCTTAGATTTGTGCTCTCAGCCTTTAGCCACTTTATAATTTCCCCATGTAAGCATTTAAGCACATTCAGTGCTACGAAACTGACCCTTCACAATTAGAACACGGCTGACTCTAGCGCCCCCTTTCTCTGTGGACGGCATCCCTAGGTCATGGACTATCTGCAAGGGTAAAAGTAAAAAATGCTCCTGATAGTGCTTGCTTCATGAGCTTGGCGGGAAGAAAAAGACTGCCCACGTGGCCTGCTTTCTTCTTCTTTTTCAGGAGGAATGTGCTCAGTACTGGGAAAGCATGAAAAATGGACAGCTCAGCTGTACTCGCGAGAGTGACCCTGTACGCGGTGCTGATGGGAAGCCATACAACAATAAATGCGTCATGTGTAAAGAGCTGCTGTAAGTGCTTCTCGTAGCAAGTGTGTCCAAAAGACAGCCACACATTTCTCCTTTTCTGTGGCTCCTTCTGCGAAAATTCTTTTCATTAGTCCCAATGCTTCCCTCACTTTTGTTTCCTAAGGAACATAAGCCCAAATGGGGGACAGATCATCAAGTGGCCGATTGTCCTGTTAACCACTCTAATTCTGTGACCTCCCAGTGTCATCGTAATATTGTCCATTGCCTAGTGAAATTTAATGATAGTCATTTGAAATTGCAAAACAGTGTTTAAGAGAGCCAGGCTCTTGCCAAGTGTATGAAACATAGAGTGTTTAAGAGAGCCAGGCTCCTGCCAAGTACATGAAACATTCCTAACTACAAAAACAGGAACAGGAGTAGTTACTTCAGTTTATTTTTCCCCCATGAATGGTATTAGAGTATTTCGTGACATAGTTCAGCCACTTTGATCAATCTTGTTAGGATCGGTAACACAGTTATTGCTAGTCCCATCTATAAACTGAGTTAGTCCTAAGTGACCCTAAACTTAGGGATGCTTTTAGTTGTGACATTTAATTATTGCATGATTAGTAAATGTGTAGCACCTATCTCTCATGCTACAAAGTATAATTCATTCATTCTTCACTTCTCTGAGGGTTATGTGATGAACCCTTATACCAATGCTGACATTCTACTAATGAGAAAAATGAAATTGTTTTTCTTTTTTAAAAAAAAAATATTTATTTATTATATTATGTGTATAGCATTCCTTCCACGTGTGCCTGCAAACCAGAAGGGGGCGCCAGGTCTCATTATAGATGGCTGTAAGCCACCATGTAGTTGCTGGGAATTGAACTCAGGACTTCAGGAAGAGCAGTCAGTGCTCTTAACCTCTGAGCCATCTCTCCAGCCCCAAAATTAGTTTTCTTAAAAGCGTTGTGGAGAGTGCATTTGAGGGCTCTAGCCAGTGGGCTCTAGCCGCAGTCCAGTTCTTCTGTACGGCCACCTAGATCTTACTCTGTATTGTCAGCATGTGTGACAAGCATTGTATACTGTGGGTGGAAGACCAGGGTTTTACTGGCCAGTGGCCTTCGTTGATCCTCCTGTCTCTGTGTCTTTACCTCTGGGATTATAAGCATCTGCCTGACACCAACCACTGCTTTTCATGTGGGTGCTGGGGATTCGAACTTGGGTCCTCATGTCTGTGAGGCAAGCAATTTACCAACTGAGCTATCTCTCAATTAGTGGAGGTGTCTGACCGAAGGTATGACCATAATTAGATTTACAGCATGTTATGGCATTATAGGAACTCTCTATTTTCAATAATTAAATTGATTAAAGTGCTATGACTTACATTCATTGGAATTTACTATTTATTTAAGTATTTGGGGCCATGCTTTAAGAAATAACATTATAATGATTTTTTTTTCTTAACGTCAAAATCATGGACCACTGCTCTAGGAAAGTGGACCAAGACTAGAGATGAATTTGGATAGAAATTGTAAAGGCTGTAATCAAATGATTTGATGATGTATTTTGTGGTGAAGGGCCCCCCTGCCCTGGAATCATAGTAATGGAACAGGCTGTGCTCTCAGAGAGTGGAGAAACTCGCTGTGAAAAAGAAGGTTTAGGACACAAGCCCTAGGACCCATTCATCCTGGGCGTGCAGTTGTGCCAACAAGATGACTATTCGACCCTTTCTCTCATAGGCAGAAAGACATAGAGGAAAGAAATAAAAATTCTGCCGAAAGATCAAATGGGACTGGCTCAGCCACGGGGAAGGTAAGTCAGTGCCAACGTTTGGTGCAAACCATCCAAAGTGTGGAAAGAGGTTGTTGTTGATGTAGCCAGTGGAGATCTTCCTCTTAGAATGTCAGAGCTAACACTGGGTTTTATATTGCTGCTATAAAATGTCACTATAGACCCTGGCTCACAGTGCTGCAAGTTATTGCCTTACATTTGTGGAGGTCATAGGTTCCAAATGACCCCACTAAAACCAAAGAGTCGGGGGAGCTGTGCTCCTTTGTGGAAGTCGCAGGGTATGAAATTCCTTTGCTGTCTCTTGACTTCCAGGAGCCGCCTGTGTTCGTTGGTTTGTGGCTGCCTTCCAGCCAGCATGCTTACTCACGGCTGATTCTCTATCCTTCTGGGACTCATTCCCCTGCTTGAGCAAGAACCCTCATGGTAGCAATGAGTCCTCCCCCCAGTCCCAAGTAACCTTCACACTTCAAATACAACTGATCGGTGCTCTTAATTCTCCATTGAGACGATTACATTAACTGATAAAATAACATATCTATCTGCACACTCCACACAAAGACATGGATGTCCTTATGTCATAATCCTGCCTACCTCAGCAAGGTTAAATGGCTGCCAGATGTGTGAATGGAAACCTTTGGCTTTTCAAACCCAATAAAATACTATATGAAAAAAGCATTTCTGATTATCTTTCCTCGTTTATTTTCAGGATGTATGTGATCAGTTTAGAAGCCAAATGAAAAACGGGAAACTCCTCTGTACTCGGGAAAGTGACCCTACCCGGGGTCCAGACGGCAAGACTCACGGCAACAAGTGTGTTATGTGCAAGGAGAGGTTGTAAGTGTCTTCCCAACAGTGCTCTGGCTGTGCGTCCAGATAGTGTAGTAACCACGTTACAGCAGTCCGAGCAGAACAGCGAGCGCTTTAGAAGTGAGTCCTATAATTAATGAGACACGTATTCACTTTCTTCCCATCCTTACTCTCAGGGAAAGAGAGGCCGCTGAAAAGAAAAAGAAAGAGGATGAAGCCAAGAGAAACACGGGGACAAACAAGAATGATAAGGAGGTAATATGTCAGACACGTTAATACCTGAATTTGGGAGGTTCATGTTAAGGAGATGGAGGTGATGGCTTTGGAGCCAGTATGAAATTGCCTTTTAGAAACTGAGCTTAATCAGGAGAGCAGACCTTGCACCCATGGGAGCATGGCTGGGCCACGGTGACGTAGGTGAATATTATGAGGGAGGATGAATCATGTTGGAGGCAGCATAACGGAACTGTGAGGTGAAAGAACATTATACACATTCTAAAACGCTAAGAGACTTAGTTCAGGGAGGAAAAGCTACAGTGGACAGCACGGGAGAGATACCTGACAGAGGGAAGGGACAAGAAAGAGACTGTGAGAACCAGAGAGGCAAAGAGAGCTCTCGGGGCTGGGGAGCCTGGCCACAGTTCAAAGCCAGTTCCAGGCGCAGCATCAGAGCTGTCTGGGTGGAGTGGCACAGAGAAGAACATTTATGTGCAAATCTTTGCGGTATGCATAGGAGACAGTGTGCACACATAAAGAGGCATATTTTTGCACATTCATTTTTCCTCCACAGAAGATAAGGAGCAAAGCAGCCCTAGGGCAGTTAGAGACCGAAGCTAGCAGGGGAGGTACGCCCTGACTCTTTGAGGTTGGGCTCTGATCTCTTAGACTCTAGAGCTACAGGCCCACCCAAATATTCATTGTAAGGGGAATCAGGTAACTAACTGTTTTGAAGTGCACATTCTCTCTCAATTATTGAGGATATGATAGTAAACAGAAAAAGACGTGGCTAGCTCTACCAAAACGAGCATGACACTTATGACTTAAAAACAACTCTAACATCGGTGCTAGGCATTCTCAGGACCAACAACAAATACCAGTGTTGTGACTATCCACTCTGCGGATATCATTTGAAGCTTTAAAAAGTATTTGGGACACAGGAAGGGCTTGGTCTTGGGAGTGGGGCAGAAAAAGGAAAGCACCAAAAAGTTCAATCAAGAAACAAATTGTTTCATTGATTCTTTGGACTGTTTTCTGCGTTTCTATTTTGTTGATTTCCGCCCTCAGTTTGATTATTTCCAGTCTTCTACTCCTCCTGGGTGTGTCTGCTTCTTTTTTTTCTAAAGCTTTCAGGTGTGCTGTTAAGTCTCCGATGTATGCTTTCTCTGTTTTCTTTAAGTGGGCACTTAGTGCTATGAACTTTCCTCTTAGCACTGCTTTCATAGTGTCCCATAGGTTTGAGTATGTTGTCCCTTTATTTTCATTAAATTCAGGGAAGACTTTAATTTCTTTCTTGATTTCTTCCTTGACCCAGGTGTGGTTCAGTAGTTGACTGTTCAGTTTCCATGAGTTTGTTGGCTTTCTGGAGGTAGGATTGTTGTTGAATTCTAACTTTAATCCGTGGTGATCTGATAAGACACAGGTGGACACTGATAATTTTTTGTATCTGTGGAGGTTTCCTTTGTTTCCGAGTATGTGGTCAATTTTCGAGAAGGTTCCATGGGCTGCAGAGAAGAAGGTATATTCTTTCCTATTTGGGTGGAATGTTCTATAGATGTCTGTTAAGTCCATTTGCTTCATTACCTCCAGTAGTTCTCTTACTTCTCTATTAGGTTTCTGTCTGATTGACCTGTCCATTGCTGAGAGAGGTGTATTGAAGTCTCCTACTACTAGTGTGTGTGGTTTGATGTCTACCTTGAGTTTTAGCAATATTTCTTTTATATACGTGGGTGCTTTTATATTAGGGGCGTAAATATTCAGGATTGAGACGTCATCCTGACAAATTGTTCCTGTTATGAGTATAAAGTGTCCATCTCAATCTCTTCTGATTGATTTTAGTTTGAAGTCAGTTTTGTTAGAAATTAATATGGCCACACCTGCTTTTTTCTTAGGACCATTTGCTTGATAAACCTTTTCCCAACCCTTTACTCTGAGTAGATGCCTGTCTTTGTGGTTGAGATGTGTTTCTTGCAAACAGCAGAATGTTGGATCCTGTTTTCGTATCCAATCTCTTAGCCTGTGCCTTTTTATAGGTGAATTGAGACCATTAATATTAAGTGATATTAATGACCAGTGGTTGTTCATGCTGGATATTCTTGTTGTTTTTGGAAGTAGAATTTGTGTGGGGGAGGGGGAGGGAAATGGGAGGCAGTGGCGGGGAAGAGACAGAAATCTTTAATAAATAAATAAATTTAAAAAGAAAAAAAAGAGTAGAAAAAGGTAGTTATAAATTCCAGCTAGGGCCATGTGACCAATTGTAGACACGAAAATTATAATTGACATAAATATTTCTGTCATATTTTGTTAAAATGTGTTTGAACAGATATTCATGTTTTCTTTTCTACTTATCATGTATTGTTACATCAATTAAGAGAGTATCAGTGATTACTATATTTAAGTTTTGGGAAACTAACAAAATGTCCCTCAGGGGAAATTGCCACCTCATCTAAAGATTATAATTCGTTTGTAGTTGTACATGAGATAGTTAAAATGATAGACTCATAATTATGACCTAGCTAAACCTATTATTCTTTTGTGATTGTACTTGGGATAATTATACTATGTTAGCTATAATTATGACCTGGTTACTGTTTTCATTTGGAAATTAAGCATATCAAAAGGAGGCATGATTATGATAATATTCTAGGTTGTCATCCTAACTACCTCTGAAATTAAATAAAACCTAAGAGGCTAAATAAAAAAAAAAAAGAAAGAAAGAAAAGAAACAAATTGGGAGTATGCACAGTAACGTGACCAGATGACACTTGACTGCCACTTGACTGCCACCTAGTGTTCAATTTGGGGCATTAATAGTGCCCTCCTTTCCACAATGAAGGCACAGAATAGCCATTATGATACAGCTCTTCTCACCTATGAAAGTCAATTAGAAAGAAAAAACTGCAATCTGTATAGAGAATAATCCTTTGAAATTTGTCAAAAGAGAGCTATATATTTCGTTATAATGTAAACCAAAATAAGATTTGCTCTTAGGTTTTAAACAGTTTGCAAAATCTATTTTGTGGATTTCTCTGATGTTACAGCTGAGAAAAGAGACAGGGACCACACACAAACAATAAGTAGATCAGGAGGGCAAATCCCGAAATCTGGCAGTACATTTGTACGATGATGATGAGTGTTATCGTTTATGTGTATGTGTCTATAGTGTGTGAGCACGTGCATGTGTGTGTGCTTGTGTGTGCGCATGTGTGTGTATGTGTGTGTGCATGTGTGTGTGTGCATGTGTTATTGTTAGCAGCTGGAATGAAAATAACTGCAGTTGCTTCTGAAAATGATATTATTGAGAAAAATAATATAATGATCAGATGCTCAATTTCAGAGATAACTTTAAGAATTCAGTGGATAAAGTAAGCATGGGATTGTCTGTAGGAGAAAAAAAGGCAACCCCAAGCTAAGCCGCTATCAGTATTATAATGAGAGTGTGCCTCCAAAGGTCTCCTTGGAGTTAGGGAGAGTTCAAGGTAAAAATCTCATGGGACCAGTTCCCTTGCCATTGTTTTAAGCCTGATTTTTTTAACATAAAAAAAAAATCCCAGCTCTCTCTTCTTATAAACTAGTGGCTTTGTCTCTTCCATGGAAAAACAAAGAAGTAAAAATAAGGGAGCTTGTTCTGTAGATAGCTGGTCACAAACCCAGCATTTACACCGATTGTTTAGTATTTCTGAGTCTTTTCTAAAATGAAAAATAGGTGCACATCATATGAGCTGATGTAATTCACATGGTAGAAAATATCGTAAAGATGTGCCTGTGTAGCAAGCTGGCTGAGAAGGTAACGTGACAATTGCCCCCAAGCTTGAAACTCTGGGTTTGATCCCAGGAATTCACGCAGTGGAATGAGAAAACCAAGCTTTCTACAGCTCCCCTGAGTCTGCACACATGTGCCCACACACATGTACACATACACAACCAATAAATGCAAAACTATCATTACAGAACAGAACTGTGGGTTTATATGTTTGCATGCCTTGCCAGGTGAATATGTTCAGTCAATTCTGTATTTTGAGGCCTGTTTTTACATTTGGAGTAGTGAGCACAGCTGCAGACAGGCAGATTTGGGACATAGCCTCACAGAAGACTTCGTACAAATGAGATGAGCTGTCTTAGGCAGCGATGAAATTCCCCTGGAGAAGACAAGTGGGACAAAGTATCTTTAAATCGTAATCCATTCTCTGAAATCTCATTTTCTCTATTTTCTTCCAAACATTATGAGTCCGTGCCTAACTTTCATGGTGCTTCCAGACTCTAAATCCTGTCTAAGGTTGTAATATTTTCTCTGTCCTCTTGTCAGGATCAATGCCATGAATTCCGGAGCCTGCAGAGAGATGGGAAGCTGATCTGCACCAGAGAAAATGATCCTATCCGAGGCCCAGATGGCAAGACGCATGTCAACAAGTGTGCCATGTGTCAGAGCATATTGTACGTGAGGAGGCTTGTTGATGAGTTTGATAAATCACATGTCAACAAGTGTGTATGTCAGAGTATGTTGTACATGAACAGATTTGTTGATGAGTTTGATAAATCATGCTTGTTTGATGGGAAAGAATTTCTGTCATTTAAAAACCTATGACACTTGGTTTTACACATTATAGATAAATACATCCTCATTTATAAAGACTAGTGTTAGTTTTCAAAGCACTCAATGAGAAGCTGTTCTTGTAAACAATGAGGTGTGTAGTCACACCTGGGTGGTCTAAGGTGGGAAACAATCGTGATACATTTACAAGTCAATGACTTTTTTATTTATTATTTTTATTTATCTCTTTATTTTATTTATTTATTTTGGTTTTTTGAAACAGGGTTTCTCTGTGTAACAGTTCTGGCTGTCCTGGAACTCACTTTGTAAACCAGGTTGGCCACGAACTCACAGAGTTCTGCCTGTCTCTGCCTCCCAAGTGCTGGGATTGGACACCACCTCTGGGCAGTCAGTGTCTTTTAAACAAAAAGGTTCAGTCACTGATGTGACTGTGTATCTCATGGGACTTCAGGCCATCTTGTATGTGAAAGAGTCACATTGACAACACAGTTTTTGTTGAGATTCAAGATTAGTTTGTTTTCTAAAACGTGGGTAAACTTTAAAGCATTGTAACTACATGAAGAATAAACAAACCAGAGCTTAAGGTGAAGCAACTGTCAAAGTATCAAAAAAGAAAAGGAGAAATGAAGCTATAGTCTGAAATAAACCCATTCCCTTAAGAAGCAACAGCCCTTTAGAATCCTTTGAATCGTGACGATAGGAAAGCAACAGAATTGGTGACCATTGAGCGTGCTGCCATGGTAGAATGTCCATCCATCAGAGACAACAGATAGAAACGTGTGTCTAGGTGTTTTTAAGGCATGAGACTATAGTGTTATGTTTGTTAATGTTTAGCATTGGAAAAATACTTGGTTAAAGATAATTCAGCATAATCCTAGAAATATTTATTGGTTTCTTTTTTCTGCAGCGAACGAGAAGCTACTGAAAGAAAGATGAGGAATGAAGAAAACTCAGGTCCTCAGGGAAAGGTTGTGTTTTAACAGATTTACCTAACTTGCCTTTCCATGTAGTCTTTAGTAAGAAAGATAGTAATGTTTTACTTTAAATTTTGATTTTGACAACACTCTCACTTTCTGTCATAATGTAAGATATATCACCACACCACACATACACACACAAAACAAAACATACAAACCACACACACAACCCATACACACACACATACCTCACACACCCCATACACACACAACTCATGCACAACACACACGCATAACACACACACACAACGCACACACACCCCAAATACACTCCACACTACACACACACATCCCCCATCCCCACACATCCCACACACCCCACACATCCCACACACCCCACACTATACACACACATGGAATTAATCTTTTAAAAATTCTTAGAAAATTCTTCTATAGTATATGCCAATTTTTGTCTTTCTGCTTTAACAGAAATATGCTTTGGAAAACTAGACGACACAGACTTCTTTCACCTCAACTGCATGCTCATCTTTCACACTTTAAACGTGAAAGGAGGCTTTGGGTAGCTTCTTGATGTTGACCTTAACGAGTCCTGTAGCTAACAGACATCCCAAGCCTCCTGTTCAGCTTGTCTTTGCTATCTTCTGTTCTCTCCAGATGATATTCTCTGCATCTATGAATCAGTAGTATGCATGTATTACAGTACTTTCTCTCTTCTCAAGACTCAAAAGAAGGCAGATATCATCCCTTGGTCATTCCACAGTGGTCATCACATTCTCTTTAGCCTAGAGTGCTTTGAGATTCTCCTTGGTTTAAGGTTGTGGAAAGGGGAGAAAGAACAGATGATAGGCAGGCGAATCAGCAGGAGGTGAGACATGCCTATCAAGTCTTTTCTTATGTTTTTCTACCTCTCAGGACCAGTGTGGAGAAGTTCACAACACAGCAGGCAATGCAAAACCTAGGCAGGTCAGGAGTTCTTTGCCCTCCATGGCTGGGATCAACGAAGTGAGTACCAGCCTGGATCCAAAAGATATCTCCTAAAACTGAGTTTGAGAAAACCACCCAGCAACAAAGGGAAAGCCCATGCTCACCTCCCTATCTCATTCCCTAGGATGAGTGCAGCGAGTTCCGAAAGCTCATGAGGAATGACAAGCTTCTCTGTCCACAAAAGGATGACCCAGTGCTTGGTACTGATGGAGCTCTCTATCAACACAAGTGCCACATGTGCAGAGCTGTCCTGTGAGTAAACTCATTGCGCTCAGCCAGCAGGGGGCACACAGTTGTACAAATTGCTGCTGGAACACATGTATGTGCTCCTGAGTCCAAGAGAATCAGTAATATGGCCAAGGGCTGCAAGTTAAGACAACCAATGCAGAAGAAAGAGTGCTTGGGTTTGGAGACAGGAAGTGAAGGAGTGTCTCCTCACCAGGGCATTCATTCCAAATCCTTGATCTAAAACCACATGAGAACCCCAAAAAAAGTCATTAAAATATACGAAATTTTATGCCCAAAAAATGCATTCATTAAATAAGGGTCTCAAGGGCTAAATGATTTGACTAGTGAACAAACACATTTAAAGACCAGTGGACACCATGATGGTTAAAAGCACCCATGAAGACAGCATCAATACTCCTTAGTTTCTCACAGAGAATGTTCCTGCCGTGGGGATGGACTGTCGGTGCTGCTCAGTGTTCGTCACCTTTGTGTGCTTTTAAAGCATCTCATTCTGGTCATATCCTGATGGAATTCTCTACAGTTCTCTCATGTTTTCCTGGGACAGACGTCTTTCTATGAGATGTTACAAAGGTTTTGCACAAGCCGGGCGGTGGTGGCGCACGCCTTTAATCCCAGCACTCGGGAGGCAGAGGCAGGCAGATCTCTGTGAGTTCGAGACCAGCCTGGTCTACAAGAGCTAGTTCCAGGACAGGCTCCAAAACCACAGAGAAACCCTGTCTCAAAAAACAAAAAAAAAAAAAACAACAAAAAAAAAAAGGTTTTGCACATATTTTTTAATGTTTTTTTTTTCCTTTCTTCTTCTAGTGAAAAGGAAGCTTTGGAAAGGCCTGGACTCCAAGGAAATCCATCACACATTAGAGTTACTAAAGAAGAAGGGGGTCCAGGATTTTCCAGCTCCTCTGAGGTAAGGAGTTTCTCCTTGAAATCTTAGGCCAGTAGCTTCTGTCCTCCAGTGGTTGGGGAGCCTGCAGCTCAAAGCCAGCTCAGGGGAAGCATCATGATAGTTTTCGGCCCAGTGAGCACAATTTGTTCACAAGTCTTCGCCATTCACACAGGAGGTAGTGTTGCAGAGATAAGGAAGCACGGGTTTTGCATATTTCTTTTTGCCACCACAGAAGATAGAGACCAGGGTAGCTCCTGGGGAGGTAGAGACCAGAGTTAGTAAGGGAGGTATGGACTAATTTTTTTCAGACCAGAATCTGATCTCTTAGAACGGCCAGTATCTTAAAGAGGTAGGTCCACACCAAAGGGAATTCATTAAGAGTGGATATTGTTTCTAGCATGAATATTATTCTAGACTCTTTCCTAGAAGCATGTCCTAGCTTACTATGCCTCAGATCATTAAAGAATTCCACTTATTGCTTCTTTTTTTTGGGGGGGGAGGGGGAGTTGTCACTGTTATTTTTGGTTTTGTTTCTTTTTGGCGCACTAATATTCTCTAGTTAAAAGAAGCCAAAGGCAGGAGGTTATGCCCACCCAATATGATGTGAAATACTGAATGCATTTGAGTAATGCACCACAGTCCTGTTCTTAATCATTGACTCAGATGCCATTAGGAAAACCAATATTTCTCCAATCCCATATAATCCCTTGAAAGTCTTAAGCAACTTTGCTCTCTACTCTACCTGTGCAGGACTCTGACATATGCAAACACTACCGAATATTGCCCAGGATGGGCTATCTTTGCCCAAAGAATATTCAGCCTGTCTGTGGGGATGATGGCCAAACCTACGCCAACCCCTGCATGCTCTGTCATGAAAACCTGTAAGTACCCACATCACACCATCTCCTCTTCCAGTGTGAGGGTTGCCAACTGCAATTGCCTATAGCAGTGCTCTGATATTAACTAGATATTTATTTCAAGTTATCTGTTGTCTCCGTCCCAACATTCAAAATGGGTTCATTTTTTAAAATGAAAAGTATATAACAGTATCCTTTTAATATACTTGCCTGTCTCTATTACTTCATAAAGGTAATAGAGTAATAGGAAAAGAGGAAGGAGCAGTGGTGGGATCACAATGATTGAAGAGCACCTCTATAAGACTGTGTAGATTCATGAAAGTGTGGCCATCATCTATCTGGCATACAGAAAGAGAAAGCAGTTGAGATCTCGGAAAAAAAAAAAAGAAAGCAGTTGAGAACCACCATATATATATAGTGTCTGTACCACTTACAATGCCTAAGAAATTGTATGACTGTAAGACAGTGATTGGTTTCCCAGCATCTCTAAGCCTTCTTGAAGGAGCTAATACCATGCAATAAATGTATGCTAGATGGATGCCATATATGATGTCTGTTCTTAGCTTTAACACTGAATGTACATGCTCGCCAGTTATCTCATCATGTGAAATCTCAGTTTCTTCCTTGGAAGAAGGTGGAGACTATTACTTAAGCTACCAAGTTCACTGATAACTGAGAAGAACTTGGATATGAAAGTATAGGTTAAGTGCAAGAGCTGTTTAGTTCTTTCATTGTTTGTTTTCGTTTGGTTGATTTTCTTCTCAAATACTGATTTTGCAAAAACTTGTCATTGTCCCTAGACTTATCATTCACCTTCTCTCAGCCTCCCTGTGACAAATTTCTTTGGAAGTATGGTGGAAATTCTTTATATCTAGAAATGTGAACTATAAACTGTGAACTTACTTGCCATCATACCTGTAGGTATGGTGTGATGATAAGTCATTTTCCCATTCCATCATCAAGTTTTCATAACGTGATGTAGAGATCTATTTTTGTCTTGGTGGATGGGTGAACCTGATACTCAGAGAGTTCAAATGTTTTTATTAAATGTCACAAAACTCACAAAATTTAGAAAATATCTTACCCTTGCTTTATCTGGGTCTAAGTAATTGTGGTTTAACTGTAGTTTCTTTACTTTACTATTATTATCTTCAATGCAGTGGTTCCACTGCCATTTGTGAGACTATAAATTAGTTTGATATCATAAAGATGTGATACAGTGTGTGAAATTCCTTTGATAATATACATATGTGGCACAATATGTGGACTTAACATATATGAGCTCACAGGCTCACTGAATACACCAATGGAAATTAAATATTTGTTAATTCTTTAATTCTTTCTAAGAATTCAGTTATTACATACACACACTGTCTTTTGGCCCTAAATCCTTCAATTCCTTTTGATTATAAATCTGAAGACCTAAATTATCGATACTATTTAACCAAACTTTTCATTAATTATTCCAGCCCAGGTCTAATCAAGAAAGCTTCATAGACAGAAGCTCAAGTGATGAAAGGATTAATGTAGTCTACCTTGGGTGCATGCCATGGCTAAGGAAGGTAGGGGTAGACCTCATAGAGAAGACTCAGGTTTTCTTGTGGAAGAAGGACGAATATTTAGTGAAGGGTTAGATCAAGCTATAGGGCTTCAACTTCAATGAAGCAGATTATGGGTTTTCCCCAGCAACACAGATGAAAAGCAGAATCTTCCTTCACAATTTTTTTTTTTTTTTTTCGAGACAGGGTTTCTCTGTGGCTTTGGAGCCTGTCCTGGAACTAGCTCTGTAGACCAGGCTGGTCTCGAACTCACAGAGATCTGCCTGCCTCTGCCTCCGGAGTGCTGGGATTAAAGGCGTGCGCCACCATCGCCCGGCTCCTTCACAAAATTTCTTAAGTTAAAAGTCTTGAAATTCTCTCAAGTATCATTTCAGGTTCAAGAAATAACCCCGTATTATTGTATTTTTGTTCTATTTTCTATCCCCAAAGTTATATTACCTGATATAGTCAAACTCCTTTCTGGGATCTAATTTTTTCACCTTCAAAACAAAGTCACGTGTGCCAGTGAGGTGACTCAGCAGGTGAGGATGCTAGCTGTTCATGTCTGTCTACTTGAACTCAATCCCAGAACCTACCACAGTAATTGCAGTTAATTGGTTCCCAAAAATTATATTCTGACCTTTCCATCTGTACCATGGTACATACGTGCCAGTGCTCATAACACACACACACACACACACACAAATACACCCATGGGCACACAGTCCTATACACATGCACACACACAGAAACACACACATGCACAGACACACATGAGCATACACACCAATTGAAATGAAAATTTATAAAAAAAAAACAAAAGCTTTGGATTAAGAATCACATGATTCTATCTTGGTTGAAATGTGGTGAAATAGACTCAGAACTAGAGGATAAGTTAGGAACAGAAGAGAATAACCAAAGCTAGATGATGCTAAGCAGAAAATGGTTCCATGAATTAGACTTTTATGCTAATTAAGTTTGGTATTCATACGTCACCTACATCTGTTTATCATTAGATCTGAATATTTTTCCCGTCATTGAAGCATCTCTTCTTTTTTAGGATCCGTCAGACTAATACACGCATACGTAGTCAAGGGAAGTGTGAGGAGAGCAGCAACCTGGAAACAATACCTGCTGAAACGCCTGCATCTGTGAGTGCATTGGCCTCTGGGTTATGGTGGCAGCTGCTGTGGGTTCTGATTTGGTTCATGCACTGGGAAATAAAAATTTGTCTGGCCAGAGAAGTCACACTAATAGGTCATATGACTCGAGAATTATCCACATTATTACCAGGATGATAAAGTAATTATTGAAGCATGTGGTAATAAGCTTATGCCAATTATAAGACAAGATGGAGGCTAAGAGAGGCAGGTCATAACAGCTGGATTGAAACCAATTCTACGTAATGCTTATGTCGTTGTGTATTGCAAAGAATTTAATTTTCCTCAATGCTAAAAGTTGGCCTCTTATTTAAATACCTAACAGAATACTTGAACATGTATTACTTACTTTGAAAGTCTCCCTGGTAACTCTATCTGAAATCCCTTTCACAGGTTAGATAACAATGAACTAGATAAGAAAGAAGCATTTAAATGAAAACAATGTGGTGTAATAAGCTAAACATAGGTTAGTTTTTTGATGGTTTTCATATAGGATATTTCTAGTGAATCACATAATTACTCTTAATATCTCAATGAATTATTGAAAGCATTCAATATACACTGACTTTAGAATACTTGTCATAGCATCTAAGAATTAATGGCATTTATAATTATTGTCATCATCATCATTATCAACCCAAAGATGGAATTTACGAAAATTTCTAAAGTATGAACTTAGTAGAAAAAGAAATATGGACATGGTTGTTATTTAATTTGAATTAATAAATTAATTTAACTAAATTTATTTCAAAAAAGTTAATTATATCTAATAAATAATTTCCAATACTGATATTTATTAGAAATATTTATTATTATACTCCATTATGACACCATGCAAATTGGGCACAGAATTGGTAAATGTTAGCCGGGCGGTGGTGGTGCACGCCTTTAATCCCAGCACTCGGGAGCCAGAGGCAGGCGGATCTCTGTGTGTTCGAGACCAGCCTGGTCTACAAGAGCTAGTTCCAGGACAGGCTCCAAAACCACAGAGAAACCCTGTCTCGAAAAACCAAAAAAAAAAAAAAAAAAAAAAAAAAAAAAAGGAATTGGTAAATGTTCCACTTGATTTGTAAATAATTAATCAACTGTGTTGCTGTGAGGGAAAACACAGTTTGGGAGGTTTCTGGTTTCAGGTGAACAAACAGTGGGAAGACACATTGCAATTGGTTGAGAACTGGAACCTTCCATCTCCTTCGCATGAAAATTTGCAACTCATTTCCTTACTCTAGGCCTTTATACACACACAAAAGGTTTAGCCAATTCTAGTCCACAGTCGGTTGCTAGTTTTGCATCCAAATCCTTAGCAACTTACGTCTCACTTTATTGGATGAAGAATACATCATGTCCAATAATCCCACTTAAGTATACATCTTAGGACAAAGCGACCTCAGTAATTTACTGAAAGTTCAATTTAATAGAATAGCCTTGGACCACACTTCCCTGTAACTCTCATCCTGTGTAGGTAACTTGACAAAAACTACATCATGGAACTTACCTGTAGATTATACAAAAATAGATTTATTTAAGTAATGAAGGATTGTGCCAGAGGCAAGATCTAATGAGAATTTTGAAAGTCATTAAATTTTCATGTGTAATCTCCTTATCTATGAGATGCCGTGAATGACAGCACTTACTGTCATGAGGAAACAGGCAATCTATAGCAGAGTTAACCCATGATTGTTTGTATGTTCACCTCAACTTTTGGTGCATAGGAAATTCTCAGGTAATAACCATCACAGCATATAGAATGTGAACATGATTTAATATAATATTGTGAGGTCTTGGTACAGACCACCTTCCTGTAGTTTCAATGAGTTTTAGCATCTAACCTATCCATCTCCTTTTCCAGGAAAAATGAACAATGATTGGTGAAAGTCTCAAGGAAAAAGCTATGCCTCGATTCTGAACTGCCTACCTTCACCATCTGTGTATATAAAGAATTCTTCATTCGTCTTTTTACTATAGAAAACACAGAGCTGTTGGTATTAGACTCGCTGGTTCTTAGTCTTTCCACCTCTTTCCTTCTAGACTCAGTGATCTGAAAACGGGGAGAACTCTCCACCCAGACTCTGCTCTGAAAATCTGATCACAATGTTGTCTGCCCAACTGCCCGTTTAATAAAAGTAGAAACTCAGCAGAACATCCTTTTGGGGATTTGTTTTTCACTGCTAGGTCATAGGAATTTTTTAAAAAAAAAAGAAGCTGGATGTATGGTGCCCTTTGTCTTACACTGGCAGACAAGTTGCTGCCATTGTTGAGAATAAGTCCCTAGAATGAGAGGGGGTACAATATGGGCTCTCAGGCAGCTAATACTTGTGTGAAGCTATCTGTCACCATATCAGACCCTTTACCTTTATCTGTATTACCATAAATACCATAACTCAATTTTTATAAGTCCTATAATTGAAACCATCCAGAAATTTCTCATATCTAATTATTTACCTCTTGATACATATTTTTGTTTAATTTTGAGGTTATACCATGGCTTACTACCTACAGTCTGAGAAAGACTAAGAAATTGAAACCACAATATGTAAATCCCTAGAATTGCAATTTCCAGCAAAAATGTCATATGAGCCATTTATATAATTTAAATTTTTAGTAGTTAACAAAATAACCAAGTAAAATTAATTCTAATTATTTTATCTATCTCAATATATGAATTAAACTAATATACATATTTTATTTAATGAATCCTTGATATTGATGTGTATTTTCCACTATTTGTATACCTAGTTTGGGCCAGTCATGTTTCAACTGTTCGATGACCATATGTAGCTGGAGGTGGCTACAGTGAACAATGCAGCAACAGACATGGGCCAACTGAGAGTAACTAACATATTAGAGGGGTGGCTTGAGACAGCTTGTGGCTCCAGGCTCTCTACTGAGACTCTGCTATTCTCAGAATATAGTAGCTGGTGTTCTGTGGTAGCAGGAGGTGCCAGATTCACTCCAAGATTCTAGACTGAGGCAGGACGAAGTCCAGAAAGTACACAAAGAAGCTTGCATGTCTCCAGCCACTCTAAGCAACAGGAAAAGAAAATGTTCAGAGTGTGACCGACCTGCTTAGACCTAAAAAGCTAATTTTGTATATTCTCTCTGCTCTTTTGTTTTTATAAATAAATCTCCACTAAGCCAAATATAATGGGATTTTATGATTGTTGTCCTTCGTAAGTGAATGAAAACTAGTCAGTCCCCATGCTGCAGTTTCCTGTGTCATTAAAGAAGAAGAGAGAAGATAATAGCCATTGGCCAAGCGTTGTCGAGACTGTTTTCCTGGGGATTCTGGTGGGACTAGGATAACTTCAGAGTTTCTCTGGCGTGTCTTCTTCTTGATCATAGGCAGGAAATCTGGAAATTCTATTTTCATGAGCTTTGGAGAAACAGATGTTTGTCATGTCGTATTTAATAATTTGTTGATGTCTACACAAGAAATCCTTTATATTCCATCTTGTTCTTTTTTAATACAATATTCATAAAGACTCCTTGATTTACCCAACCCTTTGTAGTCATCACGAAACTTGGTTTCATTTCAATTCATTAAGAATATTGCATGTCATACATACATAGATCTAATCTACATGGGAAGTAGAAAAAGACAAAATCTCCTGAGTAAATTGGGAGCATGGGGACCTTAGGGGAGGATTGAAGGGGAGGGGAGAGGCAGGGAGGAGAGCAGAGAAAAATGTAGAGCTCAATAAAAATCAATTAAAAAAAATACTGCATGAAATTACACTTGGCCTGCCTGTAAACAGTATGTGAGGCACAAATGAGTTTAGAATTTAAACCTAAACCTTTTTTATTTAATTTTTTTTTCATTTACATACCTACCAACACCACCTTCCCTCCCTCTTCTTCCCATCCCCCATTCACTCTTCAGAATGGGTAAGGCCTCCCTTAGGGAGTCAACAAAGTCTGGCATATCAAGTTGAGGCAGCACCAAGTCCCTCCCTACTGTATCAAGGCTGAGCAAGGTATCCCACCAAAGAGAATGGGCTCCAAAAAGCCAGTTCATTCATTTGGGGTAAGTCCTGATCCACTGCCAGACCCTGAGTAACAAATCAAGCCATATAACTATCACCCTCATTTAGAGGGCCTAGAACCATGCAGGTTCTCCAGCTGTCAATCCAGTGTCTGTGAGCTCCCATTAGCTAGGGTTAGCTATTTGTGGTTTCCCCATCATGATCTTGACTGCCCCCTGGTCATAAGATCCCTCCTCCCTCTCTTCAACTGAACTCCAGGAGCTCAGTCCAGTGCTTGGCTGTGAGTCACCTTTGAAAGATGATAAAACATAAGGGGCAATCAGACAGGCCTACGTGAGTTTATCATCAGGGCCACATTCTTCGGACTTCTTAGTTATTATCCTTCTCTGTAAGGTACAGCTTGTTTTACTTTCCTCCATCTTGATAATTCCTGTTACATGTTTTTAACAATTTAATTTCTATGAAGTAAAATAGGATTTTCATATTTTATGTATACTTATTAACATTGAAATAAATATCATTTCATTGCTCTTTTAATAAAGAATAACTAATATATATAACTATGCAGACATGGCTATGAAGTTTATTAAGAGCAACTTGGCCAGTCCAAAGAATAGGTCAGACCACAGATCCTGTCACACAAACCACTGGTCAAGAGCAGAGACCGGGAAGAGTGGCTAAGGCAGGCCGGAGACTTCCAGATAGCCTAATTGAAAGGAAATACTCCATCCTTCAGTCTATGATGGAAATGACAATTTTTGTGACTTCTTTGAAAAGTGGAAACATCTGCTGAAATCTAAAGGAAAAAAGATCAGTGTGGTGGTAGAACGGCTGTTCCACCACAATTCTGTGCCTGTCGAGGAGAGAGTTTCTGTATAATGACAATGGAGTCATAGGTCAGTCTCAGAATACTAGAGATTTCCACACCCCTCAAACCTATGCTGTGCAATGGAAGAATTTGTTTTTGAGTGTGTTGATTCCAAGTGACGTTGGCTTTGTGTAAGCCCATGAGAAAATTTCATGGTATCACTTTAAAATTAGTACAACAGATGACAAGAAGCATAGATTAGGGTGCCCTGAGACAGGTCTGATCATTAATCAATATCCATTCTCCCCTCTTAATCTTAGTTCTAGTGGGATTTAGGTGAGTTTGAA